GACACAAGTACGTATAAAGATTCGCGTGCACCACGCACGGGCGACCATGGTGAGGGAATATTATTAAAGACGTAATTGTTTCAGTGGTTTCAATCAAAAGGATATCGCTAGGTGACTGCGAGTTGCCGTTGAAAAAATTTAATTAATATCAAAAATAAATACCTACGTCCAATGCGTTTTAAACTATATAATATTATGACCACCGGGTGAGCGAAATAATAATATATTGTATAGTATTTTATATTATATTGAAGATGCGTCGATTGTCGATCAAATACTTAAAAAGTAAATAATAAATATATAGAGAGTAAATATAGGTAAATATAATAATAGGTACTTGCAAACAACAAAACGATAATCAAAAAACGCTAAACAATGCAATGTATACCTTCCTCTCAAAAGGGACACATACTAGTTGCGGACGAATTATACAGGTCAGGAATTATAACATAACAATTGCGGACACGAGTTTCGTCGTCATAATACTAATAATTGCGTACAGAGCTTTTTTTTTAAATAAAAACCACGTTAGTTGTGGACAAAAATATTTCCTTTCACCACTTTTTCAGGACTTAGGACAAGCTACCAAAAAAACTTATAGGTGGGGTTAAAAATATTTGTGTCTTGCAAAAGAGCAATCGTTATTTTTAAAATGTTGTTGAATTATTTATTGTTTTAATTTTATGGAAAAAATTGCTTATAAAATATTTATAAATTATCGTCATTGTTTTTATAGATCTTGTGGTAAAAAAATTTTCTGAAACGGCCTGTATATATGATATTCTACTGATTTCACCACATGAATATTACAACATTTGTTTGCTAATAAATGCCTCCTTTTCAATAGTTTTTTTTTGCTCGTTTTAAATTTTGTACCTACAGCAGAACAATTCATTTTTATATAGCTACTAGTCTGTAAATGAAGCCTTGATCAATTGATATATATTAGGGTGATTAAATTTTAAAAATGCATTACACCTTTTATTTGTATACACGCCACCGTTGAATTTCATTTTTTATTATGCGATGAAAACGGAACTTAAACCCGTAAATCACATGTAATTCTTTAAGTTTTTCAGTATGCATTTTTATACAGAAAATAAACGAACATCAAACGAACAGCAAGCCAGTATGGTTGTCGATAAACTGATTAAACATAGGCAGCGGTTTCAAAAGCACCGGCACAATCTGAATCTTTAATATCAAATAGTAATTTACCAACGTCCACGATCGCTATATCAAAAATAATAATAGGAAATTCGTCCGCAATTAGTATCTTATATTTGTGTCCGCAATTCGTATGTTACCTTTTTAGATTTCGTCCGCAACTCACATGGTTTTTGTCACTTTGTCCGCAATTCGGAAATACCGCTCAAAAGGTAGCATGAAATATTTGTTGTCCCATGACATCAGAGATTGAAACAAATTTTTGAAGATTTTCAAATGTCGAGCCCTATAATTGTGCAATATAACTTTCGCTTTTTAATGGCGACATACTATAATGTATTATCAATACAAAATTTGGATAAACCAATATTTTTAAAGAATTTTGTCCTTTGAACCATGGCTCAAAATTGAGTTTAAGTTTGGTAAAAAGTACGCGAAATCGCATAGAAGTTTGGGAAAATCAATAGGATGTAGTGGGAAATTTTAGAGCTAAACATTCGGTCTATCCAAATCTGATGTTGAAAATGCGTGTCATTAAAAAAAAAAATTATGAGTGTACAAAATTAAAGGGTTAATCCTTTTGTGGTGTTCTGTAGTTTGTTGTTTCAAATTTAAAGATATGTACTCAACTCGATTGCTCGATCAACAAAATGTTGATGATAAAGAATAAGCAGAACCAGTATTTTTTAATGTTAAATTTAAAAAAAAAATGTCATCGACCGAAGTAATAATTGGTGATAGCTAATTTGTCATCAACAAATGAAAATATGCAAATGTGTCAAATCAACTGCTCAAATGAAACTGCCAAAATAATGTTTGTACTTACGAATTATTATTTATTTAAACCATAGAAAATAACATAATATTATATTACATTAGTACATAATATCAGAAATCGAATTAAATATTTATTAAATATGTCAAACTAGTACAACTCAGTATTGACTGGTAAGTCCACCTGGCACAATATTATTGTATAATACTTACCTATTTTTTATCAATCAAATACAATGAAATCGTTTGAAAAATAATTGACAAACTATAAAAGGGGCTAGACATATTCGGTTTAATATAACAAAATAAATAACCATAACCATTTAATCTATATGTTATATTATATACTATAACTGACTCCGTGCTCTATGTTGTCCGTTAAAAATGACAACTCTATATAACTTTAGATATTAATTTTAATAAACTTTTACCAATACCAATAATTATTGCATTAAATATTTTAATATTATAACAGCACTGTACGCTGTAACCAATAGCTACCATTTATAAACAAAAATTTCAATCGTAGAACTCAAAATCCTTTTCTTAAATGTAAAATAAAAAAATTAAGGGCAACTTATCGAGATAACAACTATTAATATGTTATATTTATTTTTAATTTGGATAACATCACACACATTGAGCATAATCATAATATCTGATCAAAGTCGGTTGAGTAATTTTTGGATTGAATTGCACTTATACTCGAGTTATATGCTTGATTTATATATATAATATATATTGATCAGATATAAATACCTATATATAATACTTATACAATATACATATATACATATATTTTTATAATATGTAAAATAAATATACTTTTTTTTTAAACAATTAGGTAATTGAAATGTTTAGAAATTCCAAATTTTACCAATAAAAGGCAAAACCTCCTTGGTGAATTGGGCCAAACAAACGTTATATTTATTGTTTTTGTATTCAGCATATGTATTATTCCTTTTTGGCCAATAAATTATTTTATCTTATCTTAATATATATAATCAAACGTGTCCCGACTAACTGATCAACGTAGAGCCTAAACTATGATAGCTAGAGACTTGACATTTTCATGGAACTTTCGTTACCACCATGGCACCATGTATGGGTGCACTAAGAAAGAATTTTCCAAAATTTACATTTTACAGAAGTGCTCAAACAAGTATTTTGATATTTTAGATGGAATTGGTTGCCATCGGTTACAGTTTATAATAGTAATAATAATAGAAAAAAATTAGTTGTAATAATTTTTTTTTTTTGTATATAAATGGTTGCCATTGGTTACTCAAACAGATGATGTAAAATCACGCATCAAATCGTTAAATAAATTAAATCGTTAACTCTCATCAAATATGAGAGTATATTAATAAAACGATTCTTCTATATTTATTAAGTTTGTTGCATATAGACTTAAAAATTACTCGATGTTTTAACGAAAAAATTATCAGGTTTTTTTTAGAGATATCAGAGAATTTTAGAGAATATACTTTGAACAACATCCGGAAATAAACTATGAGCTATAATATCTGAACTGAGGTGAACTTAACCGAGATATATAACGAAGCATCTTATATTTGTTAATTTTCCCCTCGAAATCTGGTAATCCAGCTGGTAGAGTTATAAATGTAATAAAAATAAAATAAGTAATGAAGACAATTAAAAAAAAAAACATTAGTCAAGTACCTATATACTGTCGATATTAAGTCAGAAATAATTAAAAATATTTTAATCAGGTGATCTACTTACATTTTTATTGAAATTGGTTATAATGAATTATCGATTGGAATAGACACATGTGTATAGCCCTTTGAGATCCATTTTAACTGATTTCTTATTAATATTATTGTTTTTTTGTCGTCTTCTAGTTTTAATTTATTTGAATTATAATGTTATCTTTACTAAGCACGACATTTTTATATTTACTGAAGTTGTTTATATTTAGTAATTATTGAATGTTTTTATTTACAAACAATGGTTTAAACCATTTGATTTCAAATCATTTTTCTTTCTCATACAGATTATTTTTTTTTTTTGATCTTTAATTAGGAATAAAGTGTCCTAAGATTTTTGTCTTAAAAGTTCTAGTAGTAAATTAATGTCTGCTCGATAGTTCATCGCGGTTTTTGTTTTCGTCGAACGGTTTTTAATATAATCTAACCTCACCTGCACTGGGTGGAAAGTCGGTACACTCGCTTTTTGCACAACAATAACACTAAACTATCATAATAGGGAAAAACAATTCTAGTAAGTCGTGAGAGGGTTTTTGAGATAATGGAACAGTAGGTACGTGCTGGAACCATTCATCAGTTGTTACGTATACACAATCAGAGGCGCTGCAGAATTAATTCATACGTTTTCGAGTATAGCTATATAGGTACATTTTTATTTAACAGACATAAAAAATCACCTCATACTCATGCCGTTTAAAAAATATTATTTTGATTGATAACGTAAATAACCACTCTATGACAGATTTAAGGGGGGAGAGGCTGATGGGCCTGGCCCCCTCACGGTCCATTTACTGTGTCAGGATTTAGTTGTGACGTAGGGAAAACTGCCACTTAAAAGTATGACTTATGAGTAACAAAATTAAAAGAAAATAGATACATATTTTATAAATTAATTTATAGGTTCATTTTACTTTTGATACGAAATTAATAACTAGTACTTATAAGTCCACCCCGAAAGCGTGGAACATCTTATCTTATAGTAAATTAGACTGCCGTGAGTTTACTTATCATTCTAATAGAATTCCTTTATATTAATCACTAATAACAGTGTTTTTTTTTACAAAAATGTATTTAATATGGTTTTGAATAATGTTGCTCTCTCCCCCCCCCCAAAAAAAAAAACAAACTTAAATCTTAGATCTGCCACTGTCGCCACTAGACTATTTTCAAACATATTTCGCGCCTTTAAACTGAACGCACACGCTACGATGTGGAATTTAATCGAAGACCCTAGCACAAAACACAACTTTCCCCACTTTTGGCGCCTCTGCGTGTACACATAGGGTCGAGTGACCTAGTTTCTTTATAAAACGGCATTTTCGACCGCAGGCCCAACCGATCCCGTCCGAGCTGACGGCCAAACTACTGGGAAACCGAGTGGCCGTGTCACCGATCGTCACCGTCGAACCGAGAAGGCGAAAGTTCCACAAGCCCATCACGCTCACGTTGCCATTGCCGCAAGCCTCTTCCAAGGGGATGATCAACCACTACACGGGCGATGCGCCCACCCTCAGGCTTTTGTGCAGCATCACAGGTGAGCAAAATCATTTTAAATTAGGCGACCGACTAACGTGGTGTTCTCTCTCTCTCTCACTCTCTCTCTCTCTCTCTCTTTCTCTCTCTTTCTCTCTCTCTCTCTCTCTCTCTCTTTCTCTCTCTCTCTCTCACTCTTTCTCTTTCACTCGGATACATACGAGATATATTTCGACGACCAAACACGCCGTAACTCCATACCATAACATACAACGACACAATAAATTTAAATCCAATTAGGTAATATCTTAAACAAACAAACAGTATTTGCATTTTTTTTTAGAAATTTCAAGATGAGTGATTTGATTCATTTGGTCAATTATATGATATTTGAAATAATATTAATTATCATCAACTCTCTTTCATGACCTACCTACCTATATCTTTCAAGAAATAATATAAGTTATTTACTTATTAGTTTTTTAAATTTTACATAATATGTGGAAATGCAGTGCGTATATTCTCTTTTGTTTCTTCACATTTAATTATCGATATAAATTTCTTATTATTTCATTTTTCCTACTTGTTCTATATTTCCGCCGTCATGCTCTATTATTATTTCTAAATGTCTTTGGTCGTCAAATATATTATTCTCTCCGTCGTACTCCCATGTGTACTATGGTGGTACGACACTCTTAAAACGTTATATCAGTTAGTAAAAAAAAAAAATTGACTTGTTTTATTTTTTACATAACTTTTATTTTTTACAAAATCAATTTTGTTTGAATTTTTCGATTAAAACCGTTTTTATTTTTGGCTCTCACTGTTGCGTAACACAATACTGCACTGTTTTGACAGGGTTGTTTCGGAAAAGATCTCGCAAAGGTAAAGACTTACAGAAATCAAATAAATAATAATAAATGATTTCACTTGATCTTTTTTTTTCTTAATGTCACCCTCGTTTATTTTGTTTATTTCTTCAAGCTGACGCTGTTTTATTACTATTATTATTATTATTATTATTATTATTAAATAACAAAATCTTTTAACTCGAGTGTTTTTGATCACGGTAATTTTTTTCATACCTTTTTTTTACCTATATACCTATAAATATAGACATTTAATCGGCATATTATTTACATTTATATTTATATTTAATCACACCTATTTTAACTTATTTGATAGCCGTAGTGGGCACGTGTTTTGTATTTTCTTTATTTCTTTCTTTTACTTTTTTTTATATTTATTCCACACAATAACTTTTGGATGTGATTTATTCGATGATTTTTCAACTTCTTTTTGAAAATATATATTTAAAAAAAAAAAAAAAAAAAATGTAAAATGAATTTATATCTTTGATTATTAAACATTTAAGAAACGTGATCTTTTCTGAAACAAAATTATTAATTTAAGCTTAAACGAATAAACAAATAAAACAACAACACTAGTTTTTGCTTTGCTTAAAAACTTGTAGTTTCAAGTTCGCTTTGTATATGATGTGGAATGACGATTTAAGTGTGGTAGAAATATTGGCTTTTGTGGACCTCACCCGAGTTACTTCATTATATTTTCTGTGACATCTAACTTCTCTTATATTATACCAAATTTCAAAAAATCATTATTCACTATAATAATATTATACACAATGAAAATATTCGAGTGTTCGACATTTCTTATCACGTGCGTATACGTATTGCTATTGCAGGAGGAACGTCCAGAGCACAATGGGAGGACGTCACGGGCTCGACGCCCCTTACGTTTATCAACGATTGCGTATCGTTCACGACAACTGTGTCGGCGCGATTTTGGCTAATGGACTGCCGAAACGTGGCTGACGCTTCGAAAATGGCCACCGAACTATATCGGGAGGCCATACACGTGCCGTTTATGGCCAAGTAATTTAAATCGTTTTGTTCCGGGGCGGACGGTGTGATAATGACTTCGTTTGTAACCAGCCCTCCCCCGTTTTTTTTTTAAAATTTTATTTCAGATTCGTGGTGTTCGCTAAACGAACGGACACAAACGAAGCTCGAATACGGTTGTTCTGCATGACGGACGACAGGGAAGACAAGACCTTGGAACACAAAGAACATTTCACCGAAGTCTCGAACAGTAGAGATGTCGAGGTACGTTGTGCATAATATTATAACAAACAGGTACCTATACATATCGCCGAAGTTTCCGATTGAAAATTTAACTAACATCGATATTATTCGCATAATATATTTTGTAGAATATTTTTGTCTAAGTTTCCGAGGCTCGACTTAGAAATGTGCCATGTCATGACTATGGCATCGTAAGCCCATATAATACCTTAGTACAGTGGCGTATCTACGGGGGTCATATGGTGGTTTAATCCCCCCCCCCCCCCCGAGACCAAATTTTGTACACAATACAACATGTATATAATAAAATTAATATAATAATATTTCCCTCTCTTGAAATAATCCTAGATATGCTACTGGCCCGGCCAGTGGACTCTTAATGGAATTCTTCTCAGGCGAGTTTTCCCGTACAAAAATCTCAGAATTCACCTCCTAAACATCACATTTCAACCACCGCAAATAAATCACTAAAAGTTTTAAGTTTTATTAAACGCAACACTAAAATATTATTTACTTTTATTTTAATTTTCTTCGTATACTTCGCGGTATATTATCTTGGATGGATAGATAATAGATATATATATATATAATTAAAATATTTAACCATATATAGTCAAAACCCTGCTAAGCCCCCCCCCCCCTGGCAGGCCCGACATAATTAGGGCCCTTATATATTACTGTAATACAGTCATATATACGGCTTATTTATATCAACATTAAACCATTATATTATATAGACTAACATAAATATGGTATAATTTATATTTTCTAATCTTAAAAATTAATTGAATATAAAAACTATATAGCAAAATAACTGAATTTATAATTTAAGTTAATGGACCCCTCCTAAAAATTAGCCACGGGTCCCAAGATTCCCTTGCAGGGCTCTGCACATATTGTTTTATTACATGGTGTACTACGTTTCGTTCCTAACTGACGTGAGTTTTTTTCATTCTACCTTAGGTTCTGGAAGGCAAGCCCGTGTACGTAGAATTCGCAGGAAACCTCGTTCCAGTCACCAAGTCTGGCGAACAGCTCAGACTGGTGGTGAGGGCGTTCAAAGAAAACAGATTACCATTCACCATGCGCGTGAAAGACCCCAGTGCCGAACCACGTTCGTGGACTATCATAATGAAAGAACCAAAAGTACGCAATTTTCCAGGGAGAATAAAAATCAAGTTACATATGACAAAATAATTTACGTTCGTCGTGTTTTATACAGGTTTCTAAAAACGAACCAGCACAGACGCCAGTTTGCGTTTTGCAATTCGGACTGCCCGAAAACATTGTACATGATACAGACGTCAATGCCGACGAGCATTACAATAATTACACGTACACCCGCGATTCAAGTAAATATCAATACATTATTTTTAAGAGAATTATTGATAATTTACACGTCGCTTTAATATAACTTTTGTCCGCATAGACACCGAGTCACACAAACGTGCCGAACTGAGGATAACCGATATTAGTAATTTCGTGTCTGATGATTGGATTAACCTGGCCCACGAATTGGGTTTCCAATCGTCAGATATCGCTCAAATTCAGAGAGAATACCCAGATAGTAGCGGTCAACAGTGTATGAGTATGCTGAACTTGTGGATGAACGAAATATCTGGTCAAGATTCAGGTACTATTATGCTAATTAACAATTTTTCGACATTTACAAAAAAAAAAATTATCTCACCATTCATTTGTACATTATATAGTACAATTAATTATTCATTTTTTAGGCTTTAGTTCTTACCAAACTTTGCCTGAGGAAGGTACCTACTTGAACTTAATTTCTCTTCAAAATAACTACAATGAGTACCTACCTAATATTTTATAATTACAGATAAAATAATAATTCCTATTATATTATTTTGTATACTTAAATTAGTTTAATTATTGTTGAATGTATAATATTATAAACGATTATTCATCACCATGCACAATAATATAGGTAGGTACTGCTGATAAAAATACTTTTTAGAACAAAACCAATATTTTAATATTCATTTATACCTAAAAGTATAAAATATATACCTTATTTGCGACACGATTGAGCCAAATGGTCGGCGTATCAAAGGAAATCAGAATACAAAAGAAAACCTACACGATTGAGCATAAAAAACCCTGCAACGTTGCCATTTTCCATTTTAAACTATATTATATAAAAATTTTTATTTAAATAATTATAATAATTCAAAATATAAGATACCTATCAAAAAAATAACATGATTTCATAGTCAATAATAGTCATATTTCATATATCTGTTTGATAATAATAATAATAATAATAATAATAATCATAATAAAAATAAAAATAATAATAATAATAATGATAATGATAATAATAAATAGTAATGATAATAATAATAATAGTTATGAAAATAATAAAATCAAATTATGGTACGAATTAAAAAAAATGCTGCATGTTTTATAAGTTAAAAATACTAAATACTATTGGTGATCGAACAATGATATTATATCTATAATAATTTCGGAATTGTATCTTAATTTATTATCTTATATTTTCCCCCAATTTTAAATGTTTAAAGGTACGGTTTCCCTGCAGCGTCAGACGCGAGAACAGCATGGCTAGACGCGACCTACGTCCAGACCGGTAGTGACGCTAGATGCGTTGTCCAGACGCTGGAGGGAAAACGTACCTTAAAACGCCGGAACTTTTAGCTGTGGAACTAATTTATTAATCGATAACATTGTCGATAAAGCTGTGCTCAGCTCAAGGCTCGCGTCTGGTGTCATGATAATTGGTGTAATAATAAGTGAAAATAATAAATTACAACATTTCGGCCACATGTGGTAACATCACATAAAATATTCTATGCTCAATCGTGTTGCTAAAAAGGTATATGCTCAATCGTTTTATGCTCAATCGTGATAAAACTTTTAAATTATATGCACTTTAAAAATCTTGCGCCTGGTGATCAAGCAGCTTGGCATACTTTTTGCCACCACCTTATCCGGCCTCGGTATTAGCAAAGATTACATTTTTGTACCAGTTTAATACAAATCTTCTATAAAAAAAACAAAAAAATTACTAACGATTTTATTTTATTTTAAAAATATTTTTCTTATAAATACATATTGTCACTATATAGTGATACTAGGTTCATACTACATATATAATTAATAGTTGTCTGATTACCCACATTATTTACCTATTTATAATAATATTAAGTAATTTATTTTTGTTTGAACAGTCATAGCTTTAGAAAGAGCTTTAAACAATATAGGTAGAGTTGATGTAGTGGAGAAGTGTAATTTTGCGGAGATCGGACACTATCCTTTGCAAAATGGCGTTTACGCAGAACCAGAAACACATCAAAGTATTAATAATTAATATAACGATTATAAAATACGTCCATGTACAATATTGCATATAATATTATAATGTCACATTTAGGCTATCAATCTCCGAACAGCAAATACGCCGCCGAAGAGAAGGCTGTGATCGAAGACGAGATCGTTAAAACCGTGACCGAGAGACGTATGGAAATCGAACAACGGTTGAACGGCGAACCAGTGGTCATCGACAAGAAATATGAACCGTTTACCAGAGTGGACGACGAGATCCAGATGGCATCAAAACCCGCCGTCGAACCGATCGAACCCACCGAGGTGTCGTTCGAACACAAACGCATGTCATTCGAGAGGGGAGTGTCGATCGAACAGGTGCTCCATGAAGACATCCCGGTCAAAGACAAATCGGTCGTGTTGGAAGATAAAAAGATGCCGTCAATCGACGAAAAGCCTATCGACGTGGACGTGGACGTGGATGCAACGAGCCTGACGTTTCACGAAAAGAGGTTGTCGTTCGAGCAAGGCATACCCGTCAAGGAAATCATACAGAAAAAGACGGAAGATATCATCACCGTACCTGCAGGACACGGAAAAGAATCGACGACGATAATTGAAACCGAAAAGTCGGTCACAAAGAGGGATACGACGTCGACAGAAGGTGATATTATGATAGGAACTACCTTAATATTATACACAAACTAATTAATATAATACTAATTACTAATTATTCGTTATAAATAGGTATGACAAATGATTGTTTTTTTTATTTTAAATTGTTAAATAGATATATAACAATATAATAATTAGTGAAGAAAAATATTAAAATAACAAATAAGACCAAAGGCTAACACTAGCACACTGCAAAGCCAATAGGCTAACAATAGCATTTTGTTAAAATCCGACTGGCGCGGTGCGAGAAACCGATCAACCGTATATAAATTAAAAAAAAAAATAATAAAAATAATTGGTTTAATATATTATGATTGTCATTACGTGGTGTTTAGAAATAACGAGTTAGTTAAGTTTCATATAAAAAAAAAAAATTAGTACCCGACTTGCTCTGCTAGATATATAGGTAGTATAGGGGTCAGTGGTGTATACAAGGGTGGTGACCTGGGGATCATTTCCCCCCCAAATGGCTTTGGAGTGGATAATCTTCCATAATATTTTGTTTATTATGAATTTTGAATCAATTCGAATTATATTCATTGTTCCTTAATGTTAAATATTTTACTACCTAAATAAAAAGGTTTGAGAAGGTGGGGTATTTTCCAATTTTTCCCTCCCATTTACCTATGTCGTTTTATTTTTGTTGATCCTCCCGTTTCAGAAATCACGTCTACGCCACTCACCGAGTAATTGAAAATTTCAATTTAATGATAAATCATTGCATACGAAAAAAAAATTCTGAGCGAAGGCGGTCTATTGGCTTATATAATTATGTGTATTGTATTACCTATATATTTATATTGCTATTGGTTATTTATTTAACTATTATTTAGTAATACGTGATAGGTTGAATTAATTTTTGCTCAAAACATTTTATTATTAATTACTACGATAGTATATAATATTAATTATATCAAATGACAGATTGCGTTATTGTTATTAACTTTTGAGTCGAAATCGACTTAACGGCTACCACGTAGAATGGTGAATATGTTCATGCTGTAAATTGGCAAGCTTAAAATAATTCTAAATATTTTAAAGTGTCATTGTGACATTGATTTTTGTGTAGAGTAAAATATATCTTATGATTTACGCAAAAGTTTCAGCCCCCCCCCCCCCTTCGCTTGGTTAATAATCTTTTTGAATTACAACTAAACTTATCCATTTTTCATATTTATTTTTAAAATTATTAGGTGTAAGAATTACTTATAAATAACTACCTATATATTACATTTTTAACCTCAATATAAGTCATGAATTTTCGTATTATATAAAAAATTATAAAAATAGAAAACCATGATTTAACTTTAGACGCTAATAAGAAAAAATCCTGCTTGTGTATTTTAAATAATTTTTAACTGATATAATAAAAACTTATGTGGAATCTTGATTTTCAAGCTTTCATTTTTATCCAAAAACAAACATATTGTTATCATACATAAATCGAAAGAAACTGAGAAGGTTGATATTTTTAAATATCTATAAATAAAAATAAAAAACTTTTATACTATAGCTACCTATACATGTTTTAAATGCGTTTAACAATATTTAATCGCTTATAATAATATCATATATTTATTTTTTATAATTAAATAATAGTTAATAATTTATTTATTTACATAATAAAGTGATTGTTATATATTAATAATTAAAAAAAAATTTGTTTCATAAACTCATTTACTATAATATTTCTATAATCCCTGTAATAATGTTATTAGACGCAAAACTTTCTGATACAAAATCAGATATAAGGCCTAGCATTGAATTGACTAAGGACACAAATGAGCAAATAAGACGCGATTCTATATTGTTTGAAGAAGTTTCTCAAGGTTTGGTGAAATTAGATTCGACTGGACCGAAAGTAGAAGACAAAAGTAAGTCGTTAAATATAATATTAATATTTTATCAACAATAATATCAATTGTTATTATATTTAATGATAATTATTATTACAAAATCAATAATAACAATAATTTATTTTATTTCCAGCTGAACTACTATCGCCTCAGTCATCTAGAACTCCTCCACCTAGCCCTGCGGAGTTCAAAGACATAGAGCAACAAAATGAATCTAAACAACGCCAGTCAGAAACCGTATCTGAAAAAGAACCGCAAACAGGTAAGTGAACATTATTTTGTTTTGGACCGTTTTACTGTATTGAAAGTGTACGAAAACGCAAGCCGTAAACGTTTTGGAATTTTTTCGCTATTATATTTTCATTATTAAATTAATATTAATAGTGTGAATATACACACAAATAGGTCGACGCTAGTTTAGGCTATCGTTTAAGGTTTCTTATTAAAACAATGGCTTCATTCTTCACTAACGAGATAATCACATTACACAGGAACAAATGTTTTGGAAAGGGGGGGGGAGTATCAGTCGACCTGTGACGGGGATAGCTACAAAATATCACATTTACTTTTTCAACGAAACAGACTTGAAGCTTAGTTTTGTGTGCCCATAGTAAAATAACAATTGTAGTTTAAAATTCACACATCGAAAGTTGTCATAAGACCGTAAGTACCAATTTAGATATTTTATTTGGAATTAATTTCAAAAGATAAAAACGAGATTAAAGCTATATCACATTGTCAAATCACAAAAATAAATAAATAGGTACTCAATTTTATTTTATTTTGTGTTAGGTAGGTAGGTATATACTTACGATTATAATTTATTATGTATTTCATAATTCACTTCAAAATGATAACTAGGTAGTTAAGTTATGGCTATAGTGGTTAAAACTAGGTAGGTACAATTTAATTTGTTGAATGAAAAAATTAAATTTTAACTCTCAAAAATAAAACTAAACACCGGCTTGCGTTTGTTACATACACATTTCAATATACATTGAAGTTTAAACAGTTTCAAGTACAATAATTAACATAGCCTATGTTTTTGTGTATGAGTGGCTTGAATACGTGATAACTAATCCTGTTTATTGGTGCTGTGAACAATGAAAATTAGTAAAACAAATTCTATTAAGTTGTAATAAGTCACAGCTATTACTTATTACTATAATAAATATTTAGTTCGTTGTTAATTGATAATTAATCAAATAAAATAAACTCATCAATCAATTTTTTTTTTTACTTTTATAGTTAATTTGTTTTTAATTATCGTCAGTAATAGGTACGAATGTACGATTATAGTTGTTTGCAGCACAAAAATACTATCCTTTGATCCATTCAATCATCATTCAATTGGGTTTATTCATATCGATATCATAATAAAAAAAAAAACAAAAAAAAAATAGAATAAACATTTTTCTTTTTATGTTTGAATTTATTATTTGATTAATATTTTTTATGGCTTTTGCGGTGATAAGGGTTGTTGGCTTTATACATTTTATTTAAGATATTTATCTTAAGCTTTTGTACCAACACTTACGTGACCTATATTGGATTTTATTTTCAAAAGACTTTTCAAATTTTACTAAGCCTAACATTAGAGCCCTTCTATAAACCGCTTCTATATTATGTATTTTTGTATAACTTTTCTGTTTTAAAATGTATTTAAACTTTTTTTACGGTGCTTTGATTTTTGTTCTATTTTTCAATCATAAATAATAAGCCAATTTCATAAACAAAACGCACAATGAGTTTAACTCTATAACTGCAGGCTATGTATTTATTAATTAAGTGACACGTATATGGTTTAATGGGTAAAATAATTTTTACATTATATACTTATATTAATTTATAATTTATATTAATATGCTTTTCTACATAGTGATGGGTATAAAATCATGAATATATAAATAGTGGTTAATAAAATTTGTTATTTTACACAAACCTGATTGAAATTATCAATTTATTTTATGTTCATATTTTATTTCATTTACACAAGAATAAATATTTAGTACATTTAAATGCATGATTATATCCCCCTATACCTACCCTACTATTGTGTTGAATATAAATTAAAAATCAAGTTAAAACAAACATAAAATTGCAGTAGTTCACATCTTTGATAACATTTTTTTCTCTGAATTATTAATAAAAGTGTATAAAAAATACGTTTTGTTTATTCTACCATGAATCTATGATTCAATAATATCGGCGATTGTCTTGTGATCAGATTATTATTATTAACAAATAAATACTCATTTTATACAATCATTTTAACTACAATTGCTATAAATTTAAAATATTAATGTTTTATAATATATTTAAATCACTTGACGTCTTGTACTATATACATTTAAAAAATAATATAACGAGAATAGCAAGTATTAAATTATATTACTTTTACTGAAAAAATACTTTTAAATACATAAAAAAAATATAAAAACTAGGACTTATTTAAGTGTATGTACTTACGTATATGTTAATATTACGAATTATAATATCATATTTAATAATAAAATAAAATAAAACCAATAAAATATAAATTATAAAAGCTTATTTAAAATGTAATTTAAGGTAAAAAAATGTATGGTTGACTCAAAAAATCAATTAATTAAAAATTTCCTATAACATTTTCATATCTATTGAAATATTACTGAACAATTCAAAATATTTTTTTTTCTTGAGGTTGGATAATAATATAATAATAATTGATATTTGATTCTATGCTTTGGTGCAATGTAAGGAAAATATAAGTCTAATAGTAAAACTAATTTTGCAATAAATTTTAATGTACTAGGTACTTTAAAATATATCACTTACATATAGTCACGAGAATATGTATAGGTAAATGCCCAATTTAATATTGTGTTTGATATTTTAATACATATAAGTATCATTAGATTAAAGTACGTTTACGATTTTATACAAGATAAACACTATAAACTTTGAAAAAAATTAAATTAAATTATTTATTTAAGTTAAAGCTTTAATACGTACACACTAACCCACATACACTTAGGTATAAGCACTTACACATATGCACAAATAATGATAATTTAAATAATATTGAAAATAAAATTATTGAGGTTTTATTAATTTAAAAATTGGAGAAAATTAAAACGTACCTATTCAATAGTAAGTAAAGCAATTTTAAAAACAAAGTTTAGAATCAAATTTGAATGACAAATTATTTATCAATTACTTATATTCATCGAAATCAAAGCACCACCGGCACACAAGATTACCAACAGAAAAGTGAACAAACAAACCACAGTATATTAATTGCACACTCAAATCGCTGATGCTACATTGTTTAGTAGAACCTTGCTTGGGAATGAAGAGCTATAATACTATATTGTCTCGCTTTTTCGCGGTTTTCTATTTAATTACACAAAAATACACACAGACACCCACACAAACATAAAACTTAAATACTTATCATTTCACATCAAATCCTTTGGAACAATTTGTTATGGACCGACTGGCAGTTTAAATGTTAGATAGTAAAAAAAAAAAATTAGTCATACGTTGATTTTGGTCGTAGCATTATGGTCACAGGACAATGATGACTTGCTGGACACTCATGGTTTTGGTGAACATCTCAACGGCATTGAAACGCCAAATTTATCAAAGCCGAAAAATCATAAATCGTTGGCGGACATTGATGAGGAATTTGAGGAACGGTCGGTTGTATTGCACCCCTTTTTTGATCAACCAAAAAGAGACATTTACGAACAAGTTCAATTTATAAAACATCACGATGACTCGCCTGCATTTGATAGCCCGTTAACGGATAAAAGTGTATCTCATCATGATACGGGAATTAGTCTGACTAGGGAATATTCTGATACATTAACTAGTTCAGGACTAAAAACAAAACCTAAACATACAGATACAGCTTTTGATGAAGAAGCAGAGCTGACTGATAATGGATTAAGTCCAATTCAACCTGATGAAGTCGGACTTTCTGCAAATGAAATAAAAGAAATAAAGAAGAAAATTGGAATGTATGACGCCGGAAATAGCCCAATAACATTTATGGAATCTATAGCATTATCTCCATTTGGGACAGTGACAAGTGATGTTGCTACTATTACTGATAATGTGAAAAAAATTGATGTAGCCAACAGTCCAATTGAATCAAATAAAGATCAAAGAAATATGGACACAAGAGTAGACGTAAAAAAAATGATAATGCAATTAGAGAAATCTGGAGCAGGAATGGAAAACGTGACGTCCCAACAATCACCGAAAATAAAACCATCAGTAAAACCATTTATATCGGGAATAGTACTTCCAGAGGACCATCAAACTATATATGTTGATATTGAAAAAAAATATAAGCAATATGATACAAATACAATGAATATACAATCGAAACTAGACGAAGTAATTAAAACAGAAAAATGCGTATTGGATCATTTAGAAAAGGTTGTAGATATGTCCTCGAATAATAATTCGGAGCTGGAAAGTAAATTATTGCAAATTGTTAACATCGAAACAAGCATGTTGCAGAGCTTTGACAAAATAATTGACAAACACGATAAAAGTGTTAATAATTCGTGTTTAAAAAATTTAGAAAAAAATATAATAGCTGAGAAAGCTGAGAAAGCTGATGAAAATTTACAAAAACAACAATCACCTAAGAAATGTACTGAAGATAAAATTGAAAAAAAATATATAGACACAGGGTATAGAAAAGAAGAAAGTATTATGGAACCAATTAAAGTCACAGGTATTTCTAAGGAATTAAAAAAGTTAATAGACGATGATGAGATAGAACAAGAAAGAATGTATAGAGTATTACTGAATGAAACTAATACAAACGATAACAAATATAGCAACAAAACGCCTGTAGTGGAAGAAATTATAACTCCTAAACGTGTAAAACCAATTACCAAAAAAGATGATGCCATAGGTGATTCACAAAGTACTGAGCTCCACAATATAACCACAAATATCATAGGTTCAATAGCACCAATAAAACAAAAAATAAACAATAATATTAAAATAACAAATTTGAAAGAGAATGAACAATTAAATACTGAAAAATATAAAACTGAAAATAATGAACTATTAAAAAAAGATACAAATGATAAAAATAAAAAAATATTTTATGAAGAAGACGAAGAAGACGAATCAGATATTTTTGAAAAATTTACTCGGGAGCATTTAAAAAAGTCTTTAGACCTATCGCAAACTAACGTTGAAAAAGAAGATAATGATATTAAAGATGTTCCAAAAGAAATAGATTTTGATATTGTAGATGACGAAGAAAATGAAATGAACAACGCTAAAAAAGATAAATCATTATCTTTTATCCCTAAAACAATAGAAAAAGGATTAAAAGATATAACGATGACATTAACGAGTATTGTAAAAAAAATGGATGTAAATGATATGTCAGGAAAGAAAAATGAGAATGAAGGAGGTGATAAAGAAACTGAAATAATAAATGAAAGTACAAAGCAAGGGAGTGGAGAAACAGAGTCAAATAAAAATAAAAATGTTAAAAAAAATAATACTAAAAATGAACTAAAATCTAATATAACTCCACAAACCCCGATTTTAAAAAGGGAGACATTATTAAAGAATAATATTAAAAATGAGAGTATAGAACAATGTAATTATATTGCAGAAAGAGACCCTAAAAAAGAACTAGTTGATAGTTATGAAAAGAGCACAAAAAATAAAGAACGATTTAAGATAAACACAGTTACAAATCAAAATAATAAACCTGTAACTACGACTAATAACGCGGAAAAAGAAGTACATAAAAACATACTAACAACTGAAAAATCAAACTTAGACAAAACTAATGAAAGTATAAAAATAGATATTAAACAAACTGTAGCAACTTCTTCAATAGAAAATAAAACGTTACCAACCACAGTAAATTCATTAATAAAGTCAGAAATAAAGCCAATTATAACAGAAAACCAGAAAACAATTTTACAAATAGATGATTCAAATATCAATACTACACAAAAACAGATAGTAGGTGAACAAAAAAATACCAACAGCCCATATAAAAAGTTAGATATAAATACCGAAACCGAAATTGATACAATAAATATAACTACAACGTCCTACGAAACGTACGAAAAAACTGAAAGACATACAAAAACATTCATACTAAAAACAAATAAAGAACATAAGGAGATAAAAACCACAGATATTTATTGCACAACGCATACAGAGGATAAACTAATGAAAGATGAAACAATCCAATTTGAAAACTTGACAAAAAAAGATAGAGAAGAAGGTATTCAACAACAAAAAGACCATTTTGAGAACAAAGCAGAAAAATTAATACAACAAAAAAATGAACTTCATTCAGAGACAACCAAACTGAGAGATGAAAAAGTAAAAGAACAATCAGAAGTGGAAAATAACAAAGATAAACAATATATCGAAGGTATTGAAACCGATAAAGTACATTTTGATGAGTTTTATAAATGGGTAGATAAATTAGTAGGAGAGAAAAATGACAATATAACAAAAAAACAAAATGAGAACGAAAAAAAACAAAATCTCTTTAAAACAATTAGAACTGCATCCATCGATAAGGAACATATAGAAGATGAATCAATCACAGTTAAAGAATTTACATCAAAACAAGTTACATCTAAATACTCAAATGAACTAGAAAACGAAATATTAATATCCACAAAACCACAAACACAACAAACAACAACTGAAACTGCTATGATATTAAAAACAAAAAACCCATTAATATTAGAAAAAGAGAAAACACGCAACCAAACAAATAAAAATACTGAAAAACCAGAATTAGATGTAACTGATATTAAAGATAAAATAAAACAATTTATAATATCGGAAAAAGAAAAAGTTGAAATTGTTAAACACAAAAAAGATACTGAAGAACCACCAAATAATAAAAAAAGTTTATCTAAATACTCTAAAGAATCAACTACATCAGATAAAAGTGATAAAGATTTACCCACTGCTCTAAAAGATGCACCAAAAATGGATAAAATATTAACTGAAAAAACAGATTCCGTCATTAGTGAAACTAAAGATGATACTAAGAAACTAACAACAACACAAATTGAAAGTAAGGAAACGGTCACACATGAAACAATAATAGAAAAACATATAGCAGAAAAAACTGATCTAATTAAATCTGACTCAAAACATTCAATTAAATCAACGATAAGTGACAAAGATGAAATTATCAAACATGTTTTAGCTACTGACAAACCAACGACTGATAAAACAGTTCTGACTAAAACTGATTCAAAAGAATCAATTAAATCTATAATTAGTGATAAAGATACTCATGAAATTTCGACAATCGAAAAAGATACTGATAGACCAACGAGCGATAAGACAAGTTTAACTAAATCTGAATCTTTGGAATCTGTAAAATCCGATAAGAGCGATAAAGGTTTAACCCCTGTTATAAAAGATGGAACAAAATTAGATAAAATAATAACCGAAAAATCTGATTCCATCGTAAGTGATACTAAAAAACTAATAACGACACAAATTGAAAGTAAGGAAACCACCACACATGAAACAGTAACAGAAAAACATACGGGGGAGAAAACCGATCTAATTAAATCTGACTCTGTAGAATCAATAACATCCGATAAAAGTGAAAAAGATACTTACAAACCTTCTAGTGATAAAACAAGTTTAACTAAATCCGTCTCAATAGAATCCGTAAAATCCGATAAAAGTGATAAAGATTTACCCACTGTTCTAAAAGATGCACCAAAAATGGATAAAATATTAACTGAAAAAACAGATTCCGTCATTAGTGAAACTAAAGATGATACTAAGAAACTAACAACAACACAAATTGAAAGTAAGGAAACGGTCACACATGAAACAATAACAGAAAAACATATAGCAGAAAAAACTGATCTAATTAAATCTGACTCAAAAGATTCAATTAAATCAACGATAAAAGACAAAGATAAAATTATCAAACATGTTTTAGCTACTGACAAACCAACGACTGATAAAACAGTTCTGACTAAAACTGATTCAAAAGAATCAATTAAATCTTTAATTAGTGATAAAGATACTCATGAAATTTCGGCAATCGAAAAAGATACTGATAGACCAACGAGCGATAAGACAAGTTTAACTAAATCTGAATCTTTGGAATCTGTAAAATCCGATAAGAGCGATAAAGGTTTAACCCCTGTTATAAAAGATGGAACAAAATTAGATAAAATTATAACCGAAAAATCTGATTCCATCGTAAGTGATACTAAAAAACTAAAAACGATACAAATTGAAAGGAAGGAAACCACCACACATGAAACAGTAAGAGAAAAACATACGGGGGAGAAAACCGATCTAATAAAATCTGACTCTGTAGAATCAATAACATCCGATAAAAGTGAAAAAGATACTTACAAACCTTCTAGTGATAAAACAAGTTTAACTAAATCCGTCTCAATAGAATCCGTAAAATCAGATAAAAGTGATAAAGATTTACCTACTGTTCTAAAAGATGCACCAAAAATGGATAAAATATTAACTGAAAAAACAGATTCCGTCATTAGTGAAACTAAAGATGATACTAAGAAACTAACAACAACACAAATTGAAAGTAAGGAAACGGTCACACATGAAACAATAACAGAAAAACATATAGCAGAAAAAACTGATCTAATTAAATCTGACTCAAAAGATTCAATTAAATCAACGATAAGTGACAAAGATGAAATTATCAAACATGTTTTAGCTACTGACAAACTAACGACTGATAAAACAGTTCTGACTAAAACTGATTCAAAAGAATCAATTAAATCTATAATTAGTGATAAAGATACTCATGAAATTTCGACAATCGAAAAAGATACTGATAGAACAACGAGCGATAAGACAAGTTTAACTAAATCTGAATCTTTGGAATCTGTAAAATCCGATAAGAGCGATAAAGGTTTAACCCCTGTTATAAAAGATGGAACAAAATTAGATAAAATAATAACCGAAAAATCTGATTCCATCGTAAGTGATACTAAAAAACTAATAACAACACAAATTGAAAGTAAGGAAACCACCACACATGAAACAGTAACAGAAAAACATACGGGGGAGAAAACCGATCTAATAAAATCTGACACTGTAGAATCAATAACATCCGATAAAAGTGAAAAAGATACTGACAAACCGTCTAGTGATAAAACAAGTTTAACTAAATCCGTCTCAATAGAATCCGTAAAATCCGATAAAAGTGATAAAGATTTACCCACTGTTCTAAAAGATGCACCAAAAATGGATAAAATATTAACTGAAAAAACAGATTCCGTCATTAGTGAAACTAAAGATGATACTAAGAAACTAACAACAACACAAATTGAAAGTAAGGAAACGGTCACACATGAAACAATAACAGAAAAACATATAGCAGAAAAAACTGATCTAATTAAATCTGACTCAAAAGATTCAATTAAATCAACGATAAAAGACAAAGATAAAATTATCAAACATGTTTTAGCTACTGACAAACCAACGACTGATAAAACAGTTCTGACTAAAACTGATTCAAAAGAATCAATTAAATCTTTAATTAGTGATAAAGATACTCATGAAATTTCGGCAATCGAAAAAGATACTGATAGACCAACGAGCGATAAGACAAGTTTAACTAAATCTGAATCTTTGGAATCTGTAAAATCGGATAAGAGCGATAAAGGTTTAACCCCTGTTATAAAAGATGGAACAAAATTAGATAAAATTATAACCGAAAAATCTGATTCCATCGTAAGTGATACTAAAAAACTAAAAACGATACAAATTGAAAGGAAGGAAACCACCACACATGAAACAGTAACAGAAAAACATACGGGGGAGAAAACCGATCTAATAAAATCTGACACTGTAGAATCAATAACATCCGATAAAAGTGAAAAAGATACTTACAAACCTTCTAGTGATAAAACAAGTTTAACTAAATCCGTCTCAATAGAATCCGTAAAATCCGATAAAAGTGATAAAGATTTACCCACTGCTCTAAAAGATGCACCAAAAATGGATAAAATATTAACTGAAAAAACAGATTCCGTCATTAGTGAAACTAAAGATGATACTAAGAAACTAACTACAACACAAATTGAAAGTAAGGAAACGGTCACACATGAAACAATAATAGAAAAACATATAGCAGAAAAAACTGATCTAATTAAATCTGACTCAAAACATTCAATTAAATTAACGATAAGTGACAAAGATGAAATTATCAAACATGTTTTAGCTACTGACAAACCAACGACTGATAAAACAGTTCTGACTAAAACTGATTCAAAAGAATCAATTAAATCTATAATTAGTGATAAAGATACTCATGAAATTTCGACAATCGAAAAAGATACTGATAGACCAACGACCGATAAGACAAGTTTAACTAAATCTGAATCTTTGGAATCTGTAAAATCCGATTTGAGCGATAAAGGTTTAACCCCTGTTATAAAAGATGGAACAAAATTAGATAAAATAATAACCGAAAAATCTGATTCCATCGTAAGTAATACTAAAAAACTAATAACAACACAAATTGAAAGTAAGGAAACCACCACACATGAAACAGTAACAGAAAAACATACGGGGGAGAAAACCGATCTAATAAAATCTGACACTGTAGAATCAATAACATCCGATAAAAGTGAAAAAGATACTGACAAACCGTCTAGTGATAAAACAAGTTTAACTAAATCCGTCTCAATAGAATCCGTAAAATCCGATAAAAGTGATAAAGATTTACCCACTGTTCTAAAAGATGCACCAAAAATGGATAAAATATTAACTGAAAAAACAGATTCCGTCATTAGTGAAACTAAAGATGATACTAAGAAACTAACAACAACACAAATTGAAAGTAAGGAAACGGTCACACATGAAACAATAACAGAAAAACATATAGCAGAAAAAATTGATCTAATTAAATCTGACTCAAAAGATTCAATTAAATCAACGATAAGTGACAAAGATGAAATTATCAAACATGTTTTAGCTACTGACAAACCAACGACTGATAAAACAGTTCTGACTAAAACTGATTCAAAAGAATCAATTAAATCTATAATTAGTGATAAAGATACTCATGAAATTTTGACAATCGAAAAAGATACTGATAGACCAACGAGCGATATGACAAGTTTAACTAAATCTGAATCTTTGGAATCTGTAAAATCCGATAAGATCAATAAAGGTTTAACCCCTGTTATAAAAGATGGAACAAAATTAGATAAAATAATAACCGAAAAATCTGATTCCATCGTAAGTGATACTAAAAAACTAATAACGACACAAATTGAAAGGAAGGAAACCACCACACATGAAACAGTAACAGAAAAACATACGGGGGAGAAAACCGATCTAATAAAATCTGACACTGTAGAATCAATGACATCCGATAAAAGTGAAAAAGATACTTACAAACCTTCTAGTGATAAAACAAGTTTAACTAAATCCGTCTCAATAGAATCCGTAAAATCCGATAAAAGTGATAAAGATTTACCCACTGTTCTAAAAGATGCACCAAAAATGGATAAAATATTAACTGAAAAAACAGATTCCGTCATTAGTGAAACTAAAGATGATACTAAGAAACTAACAACAACACAAATTGAAAGTAAGGAAACGGTCACACATGAAACAATAACAGAAAAACATATAGCAGAAAAAACTGATCTAATTAAATCTGACTCAAAAGATTCAATTAAATCAACGATAAGTGACAAAGATGAAATTATCAAACATGTTTTAGCTACTGACAAACCAACGACTGATAAAACAGTTCTGACTAAAACTGATTCAAAAGAATCAATTAAATCTATAATTAGTGATAAAGATACTCATGAAATTTTGACAATCGAAAAAGATACTGATAGACCAACGAGCGATAAGACAAGTTTAACTAAATCTGAATCTTTGGAATCTGTAAAATCCGATAAGAGCGATAAAGGTTTAACCCCTGTTATAAAAGATGGAACAAAATTAGATAAAATAATAACCGAAAAATCTGATTCCATCGTAAGTGATACTAAAAAACTAATAACGACACAAATTGAAAGTAAGGAAACCACCACACATGAAACAGTAACAGAAAAACATACGGGGGAGAAAACCGATCTAATAAAATCTGACTCTGTAGAATCAATAACATCCGATAAAAGTGAAAAAGATACTTACAAACCTTCTAGTGATAAAACAAGTTTAACTAAATCCGTCTCAATAGAATCCGTAAAATCCGATAAAAGTGATAAAGATTTACCCACTGTTCTAAAAGATGCACCAAAAATGGATAAAATATTAACTGAAAAAACAGATTCCGTCATTAGTGAAACTAAAGATGATACTAAGAAACTAACAACAACACAAATTGAAAGTAAGGAAACGGTCACACATGAAACAATAACAGAAAAACATATAGCAGAAAAAACTGATCTAATTAAATCTGACTCAAAAGATTCAATTAAATCAACGATAAGTGACAAAGATGAAATTATCAAACATGTTTTAGCTACTGACAAACCAACGACTGATAAAACAGTTCTGACTAAAACTGATTCAAAAGAATCAATTAAATCTATAATTAGTGATAAAGATACTCATGAAATTTCGACAATCGAAAAAGATACTGATAGACCAACGAGCGATAAGACAAGTTTAACTAAATCTGAATCTTTGGAATCTGTAAAATCCGATAAGAGCGATAAAGGTTTAACCCCTGTTATAAAAGATGGAACAAAATTAGATAAAATAATAACCGAAAAATCTGATTCCATCGTAAGTGATACTAAAAAACTAATAACGACACAAATTGAAAGTAAGGAAACCACCACACATGAAACAGTAACAGAAAAACATACGGGGGAGAAAACCGATCTAATAAAATCTGACTCTGTAGAATCAATAACATCCGATAAAAGTGAAAAAGATACTTACAAACCTTCTAGTGATAAAACAAGTTTAACTAAATCCGTCTCAATAGAATCCGTAAAATCCGATAAAAGTGATAAAGATTTACCTACTGTTCTAAAAGATGCACCAAAAATGGATAAAATATTAACTGAAAAAACAGATTCCGTCATTAGTGAAACTAAAGATGATACTAAGAAACTAACAACAACACAAATTGAAAGTAAGGAAACGGTCACACATGAAACAATAACAGAAAAACATATAGCAGAAAAAACTGATCTAATTAAATCTGACTCAAAAGATTCAATTAAATCAACGATAAGTGACAAAGATGAAATTATCAAACATGTTTTAGCTACTGACAAACCAACGACTGATAAAACAGTTCTGACTAAAACTGATTCAAAAGAATCAATTAAATCTATAATTAGTGATAAAGATACTCATGAAATTTCGACAATCGAAAAAGATACTGATAGACCAACGAGCGATAAGACAAGTTTAACTAAATCTGAATCTTTGGAATCTGTAAAATCCGATAAGAGCGATAAAGGTTTAACCCCTGTTATAAAAGATGGAACAAAATTAGATAAAATAATAACCGAAAAATCTGATTCCATCGTAAGTGATACTAAAAAACTAATAACGACACAAATTGAAAGTAAGGAAACCACCACACATGAAACAGTAACAGAAAAACATACGGGGGAGAAAACCGATCTAATAAAATCTGACTCTGTAGAATCAATAACATCCGATAAAAGTGAAAAAGATACTTACAAACCTTCTAGTGATAAAACAAGTTTAACTAAATCCGTCTCAATAGAATCCGTAAAATCCGATAAAAGTGATAAAGATTTACCTACTGTTCTAAAAGATGCACCAAAAATGGATAAAATATTAACTGAAAAAACAGATTCCGTCATTAGTGAAACTAAAGATGATACTAAGAAACTAACAACAACACAAATTGAAAGTAAGGAAACGGTCACACATGAAACAATAACAGAAAAACATATAGCAGAAAAAACTGATCTAATTAAATCTGACTCAAAAGATTCAATTAAATCAACGATAAGTGACAAAGATGAAATTATCAAACATGTTTTAGCTACTGACAAACCAACGACTGATAAAACAGTTCTGACTAAAACTGATTCAAAAGAATCAATTAAATCTATAATTAGTGATAAAGATACTCATGAAATTTCGACAATCGAAAAAGATACTGATAGACCAACGAGCGATAAGACAAGTTTAACTAAATCTGAATCTTTGGAATCTGTAAAATCCGATAAGAGCGATAAAGGTTTAACCCCTGTTATAAAAGATGGAACAAAATTAGATAAAATAATAACCGAAAAATCTGATTCCATCGTAAGTGATACTAAAAAACTAATAACGACACAAATTGAAAGTAAGGAAACCACCACACATGAAACAGTAACAGAAAAACATACGGGGGAGAAAACCGATCTAATAAAATCTGACTCTGTAGAATCAATAACATCCGATAAAAGTGAAAAAGATACTTACAAACCTTCTAGTGATAAAACAAGTTTAACTAAATCCGTCTCAATAGAATCCGTAAAATCCGATAAAAGTGATAAAGATTTACCTACTGTTCTAAAAGATGCACCAAAAATGGATAAAATATTAACTGAAAAAACAGATTCCGTCATTAGTGAAACTAAAGATGATACTAAGAAACTAACAACAACACAAATTGAAAGTAAGGAAACGGTCACACATGAAACAATAACAGAAAAACATATAGCAGAAAAAACTGATCTAATTAAATCTGACTCAAAAGATTCAATTAAATCAACGATAAGTGACAAAGATGAAATTATCAAACATGTTTTAGCTACTGACAAACCAACGACTGATAAAACAGTTCTGACTAAAACTGATTCAAAAGAATCAATTAAATCTATAATTAGTGATAAAGATACTCATGAAATTTCGACAATCGAAAAAGATACTGATAGACCAACGAGCGATAAGACAAGTTTAACTAAATCTGAATCTTTGGAATCTGTAAAATCCGATAAGAGCGATAAAGGTTTAACCCCTGTTATAAAAGATGGAACAAAATTAGATAAAATAATAACCGAAAAATCTGATTCCATCGTAAGTGATACTAAAAAACTAATAACGACACAAATTGAAAGTAAGGAAACCACCACACATGAAACAGTAACAGAAAAACATACGGGGGAGAAAACCGATCTAATAAAATCTGACTCTGTAGAATCAATAACATCCGATAAAAGTGAAAAAGATACTTACAAACCTTCTAGTGATAAAACAAGTTTAACTAAATCCGTCTCAATAGAATCCGTAAAATCCGATAAAAGTGATAAAGATTTACCTACTGTTCTAAAAGATGCACCAAAAATGGATAAAATATTAACTGAAAAAACAGATTCCGTCATTAGTGAAACTAAAGATGATACTAAGAAACTAACAACAACACAAATTGAAAGTAAGGAAACGGTCACACATGAAACAATAACAGAAAAACATATAGCAGAAAAAACTGATCTAATTAAATCTGACTCAAAAGATTCAATTAAATCAACGATAAGTGACAAAGATGAAATTATCAAACATGTTTTAGCTACTGACAAACCAACGACTGATAAAACAGTTCTGACTAAAACTGATTCAAAAGAATCAATTAAATCTATAATTAGTGATAAAGATACTCATGAAATTTCGACAATCGAAAAAGATACTGATAGACCAACGAGCGATAAGACAAGTTTAACTAAATCTGAATCTTTGGAATCTGTAAAATCCGATAAGAGCGATAAAGGTTTAACCCCTGTTATAAAAGATGGAACAAAATTAGATAAAATAATAACCGAAAAATCTGATTCCATCGTAAGTGATACTAAAAAACTAATAACGACACAAATTGAAAGTAAGGAAACCACCACACATGAAACAGTAACAGAAAAACATACGGGGGAGAAAACCGATCTAATAAAATCTGACTCTGTAGAATCAATAACATCCGATAAAAGTGAAAAAGATACTTACAAACCTTCTAGTGATAAAACAAGTTTAACTAAATCCGTCTCAATAGAATCCGTAAAATCCGATAAAAGTGATAAAGATTTACCTACTGTTCTAAAAGATGCACCAAAAATGGATAAAATATTAACTGAAAAAACAGATTCCGTCATTAGTGAAACTAAAGATGATACTAAGAAACTAACAACAACACAAATTGAAAGTAAGGAAACGGTCACACATGAAACAATAACAGAAAAACATATAGCAGAAAAAACTGATCTAATTAAATCTGACTCAAAAGATTCAATTAAATCAACGATAAGTGACAAAGATGAAATTATCAAACATGTTTTAGCTACTGACAAACCAACGACTGATAAAACAGTTCTGACTAAAACTGATTCAAAAGAATCAATTAAATCTATAATTAGTGATAAAGATACTCATGAAATTTCGACAATCGAAAAAGATACTGATAGACCAACGAGCGATAAGACAAGTTTAACTAAATCTGAATCTTTGGAATCTGTAAAATCCGATAAGAGCGATAAAGGTTTAACCCCTGTTATAAAAGATGGAACAAAATTAGATAAAATAATAACCGAAAAATCTGATTCCATCGTAAGTGATACTAAAAAACTAATAACGACACAAATTGAAAGTAAGGAAACCACCACACATGAAACAGTAACAGAAAAACATACGGGGGAGAAAACCGATCTAATAAAATCTGACTCTGTAGAATCAATAACATCCGATAAAAGTGAAAAAGATACTTACAAACCTTCTAGTGATAAAACAAGTTTAACTAAATCCGTCTCAATAGAATCCGTAAAATCCGATAAAAGTGATAAAGATTTACCTACTGTTCTAAAAGATGCACCAAAAATGGATAAAATATTAACTGAAAAAACAGATTCCGTCATTAGTGAAACTAAAGATGATACTAAGAAACTAACAACAACACAAATTGAAAGTAAGGAAACGGTCACACATGAAACAATAACAGAAAAACATATAGCAGAAAAAACTGATCTAATTAAATCTGACTCAAAAGATTCAATTAAATCAACGATAAGTGACAAAGATGAAATTATCAAACATGTTTTAGCTACTGACAAACCAACGACTGATAAAACAGTTCTGACTAAAACTGATTCAAAAGAATCAATTAAATCTATAATTAGTGATAAAGATACTCATGAAATTTCGACAATCGAAAAAGATACTGATAGACCAACGAGCGATAAGACAAGTTTAACTAAATCTGAATCTTTGGAATCTGTAAAATCCGATAAGAGCGATAAAGGTTTAACCCCTGTTATAAAAGATGGAACAAAATTAGATAAAATAATAACCGAAAAATCTGATTCCATCGTAAGTGATACTAAAAAACTAATAACGACACAAATTGAAAGTAAGGAAACCACCACACATGAAACAGTAACAGAAAAACATACGGGGGAGAAAACCGATCTAATAAAATCTGACTCTGTAGAATCAATAACATCCGATAAAAGTGAAAAAGATACTTACAAACCTTCTAGTGATAAAACAAGTTTAACTAAATCCGTCTCAATAGAATCCGTAAAATCCGATAAAAGTGATAAAGATTTACCTACTGTTCTAAAAGATGCACCAAAAATGGATAAAATATTAACTGAAAAAACAGATTCCGTCATTAGTGAAACTAAAGATGATACTAAGAAACTAACAACAACACAAATTGAAAGTAAGGAAACGGTCACACATGAAACAATAACAGAAAAACATATAGCAGAAAAAACTGATCTAATTAAATCTGACTCAAAAGATTCAATTAAATCAACGATAAGTGACAAAGATGAAATTATCAAACATGTTTTAGCTACTGACAAACCAACGACTGATAAAACAGTTCTGACTAAAACTGATTCAAAAGAATCAATTAAATCTATAATTAGTGATAAAGATACTCATGAAATTTCGACAATCGAAAAAGATACTGATAGACCAACGAGCGATAAGACAAGTTTAACTAAATCTGAATCTTTGGAATCTGTAAAATCCGATAAGAGCGATAAAGGTTTAACCCCTGTTATAAAAGATGGAACAAAATTAGATAAAATAATAACCGAAAAATCTGATTCCATCGTAAGTGATACTAAAAAACTAATAACGACACAAATTGAAAGTAAGGAAACCACCACACATGAAACAGTAACAGAAAAACATACGGGGGAGAAAACCGATCTAATAAAATCTGACTCTGTAGAATCAATAACATCCGATAAAAGTGAAAAAGATACTTACAAACCTTCTAGTGATAAAACAAGTTTAACTAAATCCGTCTCAATAGAATCCGTAAAATCCGATAAAAGTGATAAAGATTTACCTACTGTTCTAAAAGATGCACCAAAAATGGATAAAATATTAACTGAAAAAACAGATTCCGTCATTAGTGAAACTAAAGATGATACTAAGAAACTAACAACAACACAAATTGAAAGTAAGGAAACGGTCACACATGAAACAATAACAGAAAAACATATAGCAGAAAAAACTGATCTAATTAAATCTGACTCAAAAGATTCAATTAAATCAACGATAAGTGACAAAGATGAAATTATCAAACATGTTTTAGCTACTGACAAACCAACGACTGATAAAACAGTTCTGACTAAAACTGATTCAAAAGAATCAATTAAATCTATAATTAGTGATAAAGATACTCATGAAATTTCGACAATCGAAAAAGATACTGATAGACCAACGAGCGATAAGACAAGTTTAACTAAATCTGAATCTTTGGAATCTGTAAAATCCGATAAGGGCGATAAAGGTTTAACCCCTGTTATAAAAGATGGAACAAAATTAGATAAAATAATAACCGAAAAATCTGATTCCATCGTAAGTGATACTAAAAAACTAATAACGACACAAATTGAAAGTAAGGAAACCACCACACATGAAACAGTAACAGAAAAACATACGGGGGAGAAAACCGATCTAATAAAATCTGACTCTGTAGAATCAATAACATCCGATAAAAGTGAAAAAGATACTTACAAACCTTCTAGTGATAAAACAAGTTTAACTAAATCCGTCTCAATAGAATCCGTAAAATCCGATAAAAGTGATAAAGATTTACCTACTGTTCTAAAAGATGCACCAAAAATGGATAAAATATTAACTGAAAAAACAGATTCCGTCATTAGTGAAACTAAAGATGATACTAAGAAACTAACAACAACACAAATTGAAAGTAAGGAAACGGTCACACATGAAACAATAACAGAAAAACATATAGCAGAAAAAACTGATCTAATTAAATCTGACTCAAAAGATTCAATTAAATCAACGATAAGTGACAAAGATGAAATTATCAAACATGTTTTAGCTACTGACAAACCAACGACTGATAAAACAGTTCTGACTAAAACTGATTCAAAAGAATCAATTAAATCTATAATTAGTGATAAAGATACTCATGAAATTTCGACAATCGAAAAAGATACTGATAGACCAACGAGCGATAAGACAAGTTTAACTAAATCTGAATCTTTGGAATCTGTAAAATCCGATAAGAGCGATAAAGGTTTAACCCCTGTTATAAAAGATGGAACAAAATTAGATAAAATAATAACCGAAAAATCTGATTCCATCGTAAGTGATACTAAAAAACTAATAACGACACAAATTGAAAGTAAGGAAACCACCACACATGAAACAGTAACAGAAAAACATACGGGGGAGAAAACCGATCTAATAAAATCTGACTCTGTAGAATCAATAACATCCGATAAAAGTGAAAAAGATACTTACAAACCTTCTAGTGATAAAACAAGTTTAACTAAATCCGTCTCAATAGAATCCGTAAAATCCGATAAAAGTGATAAAGATTTACCTACTGTTCTAAAAGATGCACCAAAAATGGATAAAATATTAACTGAAAAAACAGATTCCGTCATTAGTGAAACTAAAGATGATACTAAGAAACTAACAACAACACAAATTGAAAGTAAGGAAACGGTCACACATGAAACAATAACAGAAAAACATATAGCAGAAAAAACTGATCTAATTAAATCTGACTCAAAAGATTCAATTAAATCAACGATAAGTGACAAAGATGAAATTATCAAACATGTTTTAGCTACTGACAAACCAACGACTGATAAAACAGTTCTGACTAAAACTGATTCAAAAGAATCAATTAAATCTATAATTAGTGATAAAGATACTCATGAAATTTCGACAATCGAAAAAGATACTGATAGACCAACGAGCGATAAGACAAGTTTAACTAAATCTGAATCTTTGGAATCTGTAAAATCCGATAAGAGCGATAAAGGTTTAACCCCTGTTATAAAAGATGGAACAAAATTAGATAAAATAATAACCGAAAAATCTGATTCCATCGTAAGTGATACTAAAAAACTAATAACGACACAAATTGAAAGTAAGGAAACCACCACACATGAAACAGTAACAGAAAAACATACGGGGGAGAAAACCGATCTAATAAAATCTGACTCTGTAGAATCAATAACATCCGATAAAAGTGAAAAAGATACTTACAAACCTTCTAGTGATAAAACATGTTTAACTAAATCCGTCTCAATAGAATCCGTAAAATCCGATAAAAGTGATAAAGATTTACCTACTGTTCTAAAAGATGCACCAAAAATGGATAAAATATTAACTGAAAAAACAGATTCCGTCATTAGTGAAACTAAAGATGATACTAAGAAACTAACAACAACACAAATTGAAAGTAAGGAAACGGTCACACATGAAACAATAACAGAAAAACATATAGCAGAAAAAACTGATCTAATTAAATCTGACTCAAAAGATTCAATTAAATCAACGATAAGTGACAAAGATGAAATTATCAAACATGTTTTAGCTACTGACAAACCAACGACTGATAAAACAGTTCTGACTAAAACTGATTCAAAAGAATCAATTAAATCTATAATTAGTGATAAAGATACTCATGAAATTTCGACAATCGAAAAAGATACTGATAGACCAACGAGCGATAAGACAAGTTTAACTAAATCTGAATCTTTGGAATCTGTAAAATCCGATAAGAGCGATAAAGGTTTAACCCCTGTTATAAAAGATGGAACAAAATTAGATAAAATAATAACCGAAAAATCTGATTCCATCGTAAGTGATACTAAAAAACTAATAACGACACAAATTGAAAGTAAGGAAACCACCACACATGAAACAGTAACAGAAAAACATACGGGGGAGAAAACCGATCTAATAAAATCTGACTCTGTAGAATCAATAACATCCGATAAAAGTGAAAAAGATACTTACAAACCTTCTAGTGATAAAACAAGTTTAACTAAATCCGTCTCAATAGAATCCGTAAAATCCGATAAAAGTGATAAAGATTTACCTACTGTTCTAAAAGATGCACCAAAAATGGATAAAATATTAACTGAAAAAACAGATTCCGTCATTAGTGAAACTAAAGATGATACTAAGAAACTAACAACAACACAAATTGAAAGTAAGGAAACGGTCACACATGAAACAATAACAGAAAAACATATAGCAGAAAAAACTGATCTAATTAAATCTGACTCAAAAGATTCAATTAAATCAACGATAAGTGACAAAGATGAAATTATCAAACATGTTTTAGCTACTGACAAACCAACGACTGATAAAACAGTTCTGACTAAAACTGATTCAAAAGAATCAATTAAATCTATAATTAGTGATAAAGATACTCATGAAATTTCGACAATCGAAAAAGATACTGATAGACCAACGAGCGATAAGACAAGTTTAACTAAATCTGAATCTTTGGAATCTGTAAAATCCGATAAGAGCGATAAAGGTTTAACCCCTGTTATAAAAGATGGAACAAAATTAGATAAAATAATAACCGAAAAATCTGATTCCATCGTAAGTGATACTAAAAAACTAATAACGACACAAATTGAAAGTAAGGAAACCACCACACATGAAACAGTAACAGAAAAACATACGGGGGAGAAAACCGATCTAATAAAATCTGACTCTGTAGAATCAATAACATCCGATAAAAGTGAAAAAGATACTTACAAACCTTCTAGTGATAAAACAAGTTTAACTAAATCCGTCTCAATAGAATCCGTAAAATCCGATAAAAGTGATAAAGATTTACCTACTGTTCTAAAAGATGCACCAAAAATGGATAAAATATTAACTGAAAAAACAGATTCCGTCATTAGTGAAACTAAAGATGATACTAAGAAACTAACAACAACACAAATTGAAAGTAAGGAAACGGTCACACATGAAACAATAACAGAAAAACATATAGCAGAAAAAACTGATCTAATTAAATCTGACTCAAAAGATTCAATTAAATCAACGATAAGTGACAAAGATGAAATTATCAAACATGTTTTAGCTACTGACAAACCAACGACTGATAAAACAGTTCTGACTAAAACTGATTCAAAAGAATCAATTAAATCTATAATTAGTGATAAAGATACTCATGAAATTTCGACAATCGAAAAAGATACTGATAGACCAACGAGCGATAAGACAAGTTTAACTAAATCTGAATCTTTGGAATCTGTAAAATCCGATAAGGGCGATAAAGGTTTAACCCCTGTTATAAAAGATGGAACAAAATTAGATAAAATAATAACCGAAAAATCTGATTCCATCGTAAGTGATACTAAAAAACTAATAACGACACAAATTGAAAGTAAGGAAACCACCACACATGAAACAGTAACAGAAAAACATACGGGGGAGAAAACCGATCTAATAAAATCTGACTCTGTAGAATCAATAACATCCGATAAAAGTGAAAAAGATACTTACAAACCTTCTAGTGATAAAACAAGTTTAACTAAATCCGTCTCAATAGAATCCGTAAAATCCGATAAAAGTGATAAAGATTTACCTACTGTTCTAAAAGATGCACCAAAAATGGATAAAATATTAACTGAAAAAACAGATTCCGTCATTAGTGAAACTAAAGATGATACTAAGAAACTAACAACAACACAAATTGAAAGTAAGGAAACGGTCACACATGAAACAATAACAGAAAAACATATAGCAGAAAAAACTGATCTAATTAAATCTGACTCAAAAGATTCAATTAAATCAACGATAAGTGACAAAGATGAAATTATCAAACATGTTTTAGCTACTGACAAACCAACGACTGATAAAACAGTTCTGACTAAAACTGATTCAAAAGAATCAATTAAATCTATAATTAGTGATAAAGATACTCATGAAATTTCGACAATCGAAAAAGATACTGATAGACCAACGAGCGATAAGACAAGTTTAACTAAATCTGAATCTTTGGAATCTGTAAAATCCGATAAGAGCGATAAAGGTTTAACCCCTGTTATAAAAGATGGAACAAAATTAGATAAAATAATAACCGAAAAATCTGATTCCATCGTAAGTGATACTAAAAAACTAATAACGACACAAATTGAAAGTAAGGAAACCACCACACATGAAACAGTAACAGAAAAACATACGGGGGAGAAAACCGATCTAATAAAATCTGACTCTGTAGAATCAATAACATCCGATAAAAGTGAAAAAGATACTTACAAACCTTCTAGTGATAAAACATGTTTAACTAAATCCGTCTCAATAGAATCCGTAAAATCCGATAAAAGTGATAAAGATTTACCTACTGTTCTAAAAGATGCACCAAAAATGGATAAAATATTAACTGAAAAAACAGATTCCGTCATTAGTGAAACTAAAGATGATACTAAGAAACTAACAACAACACAAATTGAAAGTAAGGAAACGGTCACACATGAAACAATAACAGAAAAACATATAGCAGAAAAAACTGATCTAATTAAATCTGACTCAAAAGATTCAATTAAATCAACGATAAGTGACAAAGATGAAATTATCAAACATGTTTTAGCTACTGACAAACCAACGACTGATAAAACAGTTCTGACTAAAACTGATTCAAAAGAATCAATTAAATCTATAATTAGTGATAAAGATACTCATGAAATTTCGACAATCGAAAAAGATACTGATAGACCAACGAGCGATAAGACAAGTTTAACTAAATCTGAATCTTTGGAATCTGTAAAATCCGATAAGGGCGATAAAGGTTTAACCCCTGTTATAAAAGATGGAACAAAATTAGATAAAATAATAACCGAAAAATCTGATTCCATCGTAAGTGATACTAAAAAACTAATAACGACACAAATTGAAAGTAAGGAAACCACCACACATGAAACAGTAACAGAAAAACATACGGGGGAGAAAACCGATCTAATAAAATCTGACTCTGTAGAATCAATAACATCCGATAAAAGTGAAAAAGATACTTACAAACCTTCTAGTGATAAAACAAGTTTAACTAAATCCGTCTCAATAGAATCCGTAAAATCCGATAAAAGTGATAAAGATTTACCTACTGTTCTAAAAGATGCACCAAAAATGGATAAAATATTAACTGAAAAAACAGATTCCGTCATTAGTGAAACTAAAGATGATACTAAGAAACTAACAACAACACAAATTGAAAGTAAGGAAACGGTCACACATGAAACAATAACAGAAAAACATATAGCAGAAAAAACTGATCTAATTAAATCTGACTCAAAAGATTCAATTAAATCAACGATAAGTGACAAAGATGAAATTATCAAACATGTTTTAGCTACTGACAAACCAACGACTGATAAAACAGTTCTGACTAAAACTGATTCAAAAGAATCAATTAAATCTATAATTAGTGATAAAGATACTCATGAAATTTCGACAATCGAAAAAGATACTGATAGACCAACGAGCGATAAGACAAGTTTAACTAAATCTGAATCTTTGGAATCTGTAAAATCCGATAAGAGCGATAAAGGTTTAACCCCTGTTATAAAAGATGGAACAAAATTAGATAAAATAATAACCGAAAAATCTGATTCCATCGTAAGTGATACTAAAAAACTAATAACGACACAAATTGAAAGTAAGGAAACCACCACACATGAAACAGTAACAGAAAAACATACGGGGGAGAAAACCGATCTAATAAAATCTGACTCTGTAGAATCAATAACATCCGATAAAAGTGAAAAAGATACTTACAAACCTTCTAGTGATAAAACAAGTTTAACTAAATCCGTCTCAATAGAATCCGTAAAATCCGATAAAAGTGATAAAGATTTACCTACTGTTCTAAAAGATGCACCAAAAATGGATAAAATATTAACTGAAAAAACAGATTCCGTCATTAGTGAAACTAAAGATGATACTAAGAAACTAACAACAACACAAATTGAAAGTAAGGAAACGGTCACACATGAAACAATAACAGAAAAACATATAGCAGAAAAAACTGATCTAATTAAATCTGACTCAAAAGATTCAATTAAATCAACGATAAGTGACAAAGATGAAATTATCAAACATGTTTTAGCTACTGACAAACCAACGACTGATAAAACAGTTCTGACTAAAACTGATTCAAAAGAATCAATTAAATCTATAATTAGTGATAAAGATACTCATGAAATTTCGACAATCGAAAAAGATACTGATAGACCAACGAGCGATAAGACAAGTTTAACTAAATCTGAATCTTTGGAATCTGTAAAATCCGATAAGAGCGATAAAGGTTTAACCCCTGTTATAAAAGATGGAACAAAATTAGATAAAATAATAACCGAAAAATCTGATTCCATCGTAAGTGATACTAAAAAACTAATAACGACACAAATTGAAAGTAAGGAAACCACCACACATGAAACAGTAACAGAAAAACATACGGGGGAGAAAACCGATCTAATAAAATCTGACTCTGTAGAATCAATAACATCCGATAAAAGTGAAAAAGATACTTACAAACCTTCTAGTGATAAAACAAGTTTAACTAAATCCGTCTCAATAGAATCCGTAAAATCCGATAAAAGTGATAAAGATTTACCTACTGTTCTAAAAGATGCACCAAAAATGGATAAAATATTAACTGAAAAAACAGATTCCGTCATTAGTGAAACTAAAGATGATACTAAGAAACTAACAACAACACAAATTGAAAGTAAGGAAACGGTCACACATGAAACAATAACAGAAAAACATATAGCAGAAAAAACTGATCTAATTAAATCTGACTCAAAAGATTCAATTAAATCAACGATAAGTGACAAAGATGAAATTATCAAACATGTTTTAGCTACTGACAAACCAACGACTGATAAAACAGTTCTGACTAAAACTGATTCAAAAGAATCAATTAAATCTATAATTAGTGATAAAGATACTCATGAAATTTCGACAATCGAAAAAAATACTGATAGACCAACGAGCGATAAGACAAGTTTAACTAAATCTGAATCTTTGGAATCTGTAAAATCCGATAAGAGCGATAAAGGTTTAACCCCTGTTATAAAAGATGGAACAAAATTAGATAAAATAATAACCGAAAAATCTGATTCCATCGTAAGTGATACTAAAAAACTAATAACGACACAAATTGAAAGTAAGGAAACCACCACACATGAAACAGTAACAGAAAAACATACGGGGGAGAAAACCGATCTAATAAAATCTGACTCTGTAGAATCAATAACATCCGATAAAAGTGAAAAAGATACTTACAAACCTTCTAGTGATAAAACAAGTTTAACTAAATCCGTCTCAATAGAATCCGTAAAATCCGATAAAAGTGATAAAGATTTACCTACTGTTCTAAAAGATGCACCAAAAATGGATAAAATATTAACTGAAAAAACAGATTCCGTCATTAGTGAAACTAAAGATGATACTAAGAAACTAACAACAACACAAATTGAAAGTAAGGAAACGGTCACACATGAAACAATAACAGAAAAACATATAGCAGAAAAAACTGATCTAATTAAATCTGACTCAAAAGATTCAATTAAATCAACGATAAGTGACAAAGATGAAATTATCAAACATGTTTTAGCTACTGACAAACCAACGACTGATAAAACAGTTCTGACTAAAACTGATTCAAAAGAATCAATTAAATCTATAATTAGTGATAAAGATACTCATGAAATTTCGACAATCGAAAAAGATACTGATAGACCAACGAGCGATAAGACAAGTTTAACTAAATCTGAATCTTTGGAATCTGTAAAATCCGATAAGAGCGATAAAGGTTTAACCCCTGTTATAAAAGATGGAACAAAATTAGATAAAATAATAACCGAAAAATCTGATTCCATCGTAAGTGATACTAAAAAACTAATAACGACACAAATTGAAAGTAAGGAAACCACCACACATGAAACAGTAACAGAAAAACATACGGGGGAGAAAACCGATCTAATAAAATCTGACTCTGTAGAATCAATAACATCCGATAAAAGTGAAAAAGATACTTACAAACCTTCTAGTGATAAAACAAGTTTAACTAAATCCGTCTCAATAGAATCCGTAAAATCCGATAAAAGTGATAAAGATTTACCTACTGTTCTAAAAGATGCACCAAAAATGGATAAAATATTAACTGAAAAAACAGATTCCGTCATTAGTGAAACTAAAGATGATACTAAGAAACTAACAACAACACAAATTGAAAGTAAGGAAACGGTCACACATGAAACAATAACAGAAAAACATATAGCAGAAAAAACTGATCTAATTAAATCTGACTCAAAAGATTCAATTAAATCAACGATAAGTGACAAAGATGAAATTATCAAACATGTTTTAGCTACTGACAAACCAACGACTGATAAAACAGTTCTGACTAAAACTGATTCAAAAGAATCAATTAAATCTATAATTAGTGATAAAGATACTCATGAAATTTCGACAATCGAAAAAGATACTGATAGACCAACGAGCGATAAGACAAGTTTAACTAAATCTGAATCTTTGGAATCTGTAAAATCCGATAAGAGCGATAAAGGTTTAACCCCTGTTATAAAAGATGGAACAAAATTAGATAAAATAATAACCGAAAAATCTGATTCCATCGTAAGTGATACTAAAAAACTAATAACGACACAAATTGAAAGTAAGGAAACCACCACACATGAAACAGTAACAGAAAAACATACGGGGGAGAAAACCGATCTAATAAAATCTGACTCTGTAGAATCAATAACATCCGATAAAAGTGAAAAAGATACTTACAAACCTTCTAGTGATAAAACAAGTTTAACTAAATCCGTCTCAATAGAATCCGTAAAATCCGATAAAAGTGATAAAGATTTACCTACTGTTCTAAAAGATGCACCAAAAATGGATAAAATATTAACTGAAAAAACAGATTCCGTCATTAGTGAAACTAAAGATGATACTAAGAAACTAACAACAACACAAATTGAAAGTAAGGAAACGGTCACACATGAAACAATAACAGAAAAACATATAGCAGAAAAAACTGATCTAATTAAATCTGACTCAAAAGATTCAATTAAATCAACGATAAGTGACAAAGATGAAATTATCAAACATGTTTTAGCTACTGACAAACCAACGACTGATAAAACAGTTCTGACTAAAACTGATTCAAAAGAATCAATTAAATCTATAATTAGTGATAAAGATACTCATGAAATTTCGACAATCGAAAAAGATACTGATAGACCAACGAGCGATAAGACAAGTTTAACTAAATCTGAATCTTTGGAATCTGTAAAATCCGATAAGGGCGATAAAGGTTTAACCCCTGTTATAAAAGATGGAACAAAATTAGATAAAATAATAACCGAAAAATCTGATTCCATCGTAAGTGATACTAAAAAACTAATAACGACACAAATTGAAAGTAAGGAAACCACCACACATGAAACAGTAACAGAAAAACATACGGGGGAGAAAACCGATCTAATAAAATCTGACTCTGTAGAATCAATAACATCCGATAAAAGTGAAAAAGATACTTACAAACCTTCTAGTGATAAAACAAGTTTAACTAAATCCGTCTCAATAGAATCCGTAAAATCCGATAAAAGTGATAAAGATTTACCTACTGTTCTAAAAGATGCACCAAAAATGGATAAAATATTAACTGAAAAAACAGATTCCGTCATTAGTGAAACTAAAGATGATACTAAGAAACTAACAACAACACAAATTGAAAGTAAGGAAACGGTCACACATGAAACAATAACAGAAAAACATATAGCAGAAAAAACTGATCTAATTAAATCTGACTCAAAAGATTCAATTAAATCAACGATAAGTGACAAAGATGAAATTATCAAACATGTTTTAGCTACTGACAAACCAACGACTGATAAAACAGTTCTGACTAAAACTGATTCAAAAGAATCAATTAAATCTATAATTAGTGATAAAGATACTCATGAAATTTCGACAATCGAAAAAGATACTGATAGACCAACGAGCGATAAGACAAGTTTAACTAAATCTGAATCTTTGGAATCTGTAAAATCCGATAAGAGCGATAAAGGTTTAACCCCTGTTATAAAAGATGGAACAAAATTAGATAAAATAATAACCGAAAAATCTGATTCCATCGTAAGTGATACTAAAAAACTAATAACGACACAAATTGAAAGTAAGGAAACCACCACACATGAAACAGTAACAGAAAAACATACGGGGGAGAAAACCGATCTAATAAAATCTGACTCTGTAGAATCAATAACATCCGATAAAAGTGAAAAAGATACTTACAAACCTTCTAGTGATAAAACAAGTTTAACTAAATCCGTCTCAATAGAATCCGTAAAATCCGATAAAAGTGATAAAGATTTACCTACTGTTCTAAAAGATGCACCAAAAATGGATAAAATATTAACTGAAAAAACAGATTCCGTCATTAGTGAAACTAAAGATGATACTAAGAAACTAACAACAACACAAATTGAAAGTAAGGAAACGGTCACACATGAAACAATAACAGAAAAACATATAGCAGAAAAAACTGATCTAATTAAATCTGACTCAAAAGATTCAATTAAATCAACGATAAGTGACAAAGATGAAATTATCAAACATGTTTTAGCTACTGACAAACCAACGACTGATAAAACAGTTCTGACTAAAACTGATTCAAAAGAATCAATTAAATCTATAATTAGTGATAAAGATACTCATGAAATTTCGACAATCGAAAAAGATACTGATAGACCAACGAGCGATAAGACAAGTTTAACTAAATCTGAATCTTTGGAATCTGTAAAATCCGATAAGAGCGATAAAGGTTTAACCCCTGTTATAAAAGATGGAACAAAATTAGATAAAATAATAACCGAAAAATCTGATTCCATCGTAAGTGATACTAAAAAACTAATAACGACACAAATTGAAAGTAAGGAAACCACCACACATGAAACAGTAACAGAAAAACATACGGGGGAGAAAACCGATCTAATAAAATCTGACTCTGTAGAATCAATAACATCCGATAAAAGTGAAAAAGATACTTACAAACCTTCTAGTGATAAAACAAGTTTAACTAAATCCGTCTCAATAGAATCCGTAAAATCCGATAAAAGTGATAAAGATTTACCTACTGTTCTAAAAGATGCACCAAAAATGGATAAAATATTAACTGAAAAAACAGATTCCGTCATTAGTGAAACTAAAGATGATACTAAGAAACTAACAACAACACAAATTGAAAGTAAGGAAACGGTCACACATGAAACAATAACAGAAAAACATATAGCAGAAAAAACTGATCTAATTAAATCTGACTCAAAAGATTCAATTAAATCAACGATAAGTGACAAAGATGAAATTATCAAACATGTTTTAGCTACTGACAAACCAACGACTGATAAAACAGTTCTGACTAAAACTGATTCAAAAGAATCAATTAAATCTATAATTAGTGATAAAGATACTCATGAAATTTCGACAATCGAAAAAGATACTGATAGACCAACGAGCGATAAGACAAGTTTAACTAAATCTGAATCTTTGGAATCTGTAAAATCCGATAAGAGCGATAAAGGTTTAACCCCTGTTATAAAAGATGGAACAAAATTAGATAAAATAATAACCGAAAAATCTGATTCCATCGTAAGTGATACTAAAAAACTAATAACGACACAAATTGAAAGTAAGGAAACCACCACACATGAAACAGTAACAGAAAAACATACGGGGGAGAAAACCGATCTAATAAAATCTGACTCTGTAGAATCAATAACATCCGATAAAAGTGAAAAAGATACTTACAAACCTTCTAGTGATAAAACAAGTTTAACTAAATCCGTCTCAATAGAATCCGTAAAATCCGATAAAAGTGATAAAGATTTACCTACTGTTCTAAAAGATGCACCAAAAATGGATAAAATATTAACTGAAAAAACAGATTCCGTCATTAGTGAAACTAAAGATGATACTAAGAAACTAACAACAACACAAATTGAAAGTAAGGAAACGGTCACACATGAAACAATAACAGAAAAACATATAGCAGAAAAAACTGATCTAATTAAATCTGACTCAAAAGATTCAATTAAATCAACGATAAGTGACAAAGATGAAATTATCAAACATGTTTTAGCTACTGACAAACCAACGACTGATAAAACAGTTCTGACTAAAACTGATTCAAAAGAATCAATTAAATCTATAATTAGTGATAAAGATACTCATGAAATTTCGACAATCGAAAAAGATACTGATAGACCAACGAGCGATAAGACAAGTTTAACTAAATCTGAATCTTTGGAATCTGTAAAATCCGATAAGAGCGATAAAGGTTTAACCCCTGTTATAAAAGATGGAACAAAATTAGATAAAATAATAACCGAAAAATCTGATTCCATCGTAAGTGATACTAAAAAACTAATAACGACACAAATTGAAAGTAAGGAAACCACCACACATGAAACAGTAACAGAAAAACATACGGGGGAGAAAACCGATCTAATAAAATCTGACTCTGTAGAATCAATAACATCCGATAAAAGTGAAAAAGATACTTACAAACCTTCTAGTGATAAAACAAGTTTAACTAAATCCGTCTCAATAGAATCCGTAAAATCCGATAAAAGTGATAAAGATTTACCTACTGTTCTAAAAGATGCACCAAAAATGGATAAAATATTAACTGAAAAAACAGATTCCGTCATTAGTGAAACTAAAGATGATACTAAGAAACTAACAACAACACAAATTGAAAGTAAGGAAACGGTCACACATGAAACAATAACAGAAAAACATATAGCAGAAAAAACTGATCTAATTAAATCTGACTCAAAAGATTCAATTAAATCAACGATAAGTGACAAAGATGAAATTATCAAACATGTTTTAGCTACTGACAAACCAACGACTGATAAAACAGTTCTGACTAAAACTGATTCAAAAGAATCAATTAAATCTATAATTAGTAATAAAGATACTCATGAAATTTCGACAATCGAAAAAGATACTGATAGACCAACGAGCGATAAGACAAGTTTAACTAAATCTGAATCTTTGGAATCTGTAAAATCCGATAAGAGCGATAAAGGTTTAACCCCTGTTATAAAAGATGGAACAAAATTAGATAAAATAATAACCGAAAAATCTGATTCCATCGTAAGTGATACTAAAAAACTAATAACGACACAAATTGAAAGTAAGGAAACCACCACACATGAAACAGTAACAGAAAAACATACGGGGGAGAAAACCGATCTAATAAAATCTGACTCTGTAGAATCAATAACATCCGATAAAAGTGAAAAAGATACTTACAAACCTTCTAGTGATAAAACAAGTTTAACTAAATCCGTCTCAATAGAATCCGTAAAATCCGATAAAAGTGATAAAGATTTACCCACTGTTCTAAAAGATGCACCAAAAATGGATAAAATATTAACTGAAAAAACAGATTCCGTCATTAGTGAAACTAAAGATGATACTAAGAAACTAACAACAACACAAATTGAAAGTAAGGAAACGGTCACACATGAAACAATAACAGAAAAACATATAGCAGAAAAAACTGATCTAATTAAATCTGACTCAAAAGATTCAATTAAATCAACGATAAGTGACAAAGATGAAATTATCAAACATGTTTTAGCTACTGACAAACCAACGACTGATAAAACAGTTCTGACTAAAACTGATTCAAAAGAATCAATTAAATCTATAATTAGTGATAAAGATACTCATGAAATTTCGACAATCGAAAAAGATACTGATAGACCAACGAGCGATAAGACAAGTTTAACTAAATCTGAATCGTTGGAATCTGTAAAATCCAATAAGAGCGATAAAGGTTTAACCCCTGTTATAAAAGATGGAACAAAATTAGATAAAATAATAACCGAAAAATCTGATTCCATCGTAAGTGATACTAAAAAACTAATAACGACACAAATTGAAAGTAAGGAAACCACCACACATGAAACAGTAACAGAAAAACATACGGGGGAGAAAACCGATCTAATAAAATCTGACTCTGTAGAATCAATAACATCCGATAAAAGTGAAAAAGATACTTACAAACCTTCTAGTGATAAAACATGTTTAACTAAATCCGTCTCAATAGAATCCGTAAAATCCGATAAAAGTGATAAAGATTTACCTACTGTTCTAAAAGATGCACCAAAAATGGATAAAATATTAACTGAAAAAACAGATTCCGTCATTAGTGAAACTAAAGATGATACTAAGAAACTAACAACAACACAAATTGAAAGTAAGGAAACGGTCACACATGAAACAATAACAGAAAAACATATAGCAGAAAAAACTGATCTAATTAAATCTGACTCAAAAGATTCAATTAAATCAACGATAAGTGACAGAGATGAAATTATCAAACATGTTTTAGCTACTGACAAACCAACGACTGATAAAACAGTTCTGACTAAAACTGATTCAAAAGAATCAATTAAATCTATAATTAGTGATAAAGATACTCATGAAATTTCGACAATCGAAAAAGATACTGATAGACCAACGAGCGATAAGACAAGTTTAACTAAATCTGAATCTTTGGAATCTGTAAAATCCGATAAGGGCGATAAAGGTTTAACCCCTGTTATAAAAGATGGAACAAAATTAGATAAAATAATAACCGAAAAATCTGATTCCATCGTAAGTGATACTAAAAAACTAATAACGACACAAATTGAAAGTAAGGAAACCACCACACATGAAACAGTAACAGAAAAACATACGGGGGAGAAAACCGATCTAATAAAATCTGACTCTGTAGAATCAATAACATCCGATAAAAGTGAAAAAGATACTTACAAACCTTCTAGTGATAAAACAAGTTTAACTAAATCCGTCTCAATAGAATCCGTAAAATCAGATAAAAGTGATAAAGATTTACCTACTGTTCTAAAAGATGCACCAAAAATGGATAAAATATTAACTGAAAAAACAGATTCCGTCATTAGTGAAACTAAAGATGATACTAAGAAACTAACAACAACACAAATTGAAAGTAAGGAAACGGTCACACATGAAACAATAACAGAAAAACATATAGCAGAAAAAACTGATCTAATTAAATCTGACTCAAAAGATTCAATTAAATCAACGATAAGTGACAAAGTTGAAATTATCAAACATGTTTTAGCTACTGACAAACCAACGACTGATAAAACAGTTCTGACTAAAACTGATTCAAAAGAATCAATTAAATCTATAATTAGTGATAAAGATACTCATGAAATTTCGACAATCGAAAAAGATACTGATAGACCAACGAGCGATAAGACAAGTTTAACTAAATCTGAATCGTTGGAATCTGTAAAATCCGATAAGAGCGACAAAGGTTTAACCCCTGTTATAAGAGATGGAACAAAATTAGATAAAATAATAACCGAAAAATCTGATTCCATCGTAAGTGATACTAAAAAACTAATAACGACACAAATTGAAAGTAAGGAAACCACCACACATGAAAGAGTAACAGAAAAACATACGGGGGAGAAAACCGATCTAATAAAATCTGACTCTGTAGAATCAATAACATCCGATAAAAGTGAAAAAGATACTTACAAACCTTCTAGTGATAAAACAATTTTAACTAAATCCGTCTCAATAAAATCCGTAAAATCCGATAAAAGTGATAAAGATTTACCTACTGTTCTAAAAGATCCCAAACTTGACTCTAACTCTGACAATCCTGATTCTTTCATTTTATCAGATGATACTTTTTTTAATGACTTTATTTCTGAAAAGTTTATTGATTTTAGTGTGAGATCAAGTGATAATATAAAAATCGTCAGTTCACTGGATAATTTGAAAAATGAATTAGAAATTTCTGACTTAACTAATGTAGAAAACTCTTATAGTGCTTTCCTATATGAAACTGAAAATGTTATTTTTGAAAATATGTCAGAAAAAACAAACCCAACTGTTGATATTTTGACTGATAATAATATTTATGTTCCAACTCACATATTGAGTAAGCAGAATGAGGATACTTCCGTTTTAATTAAAGATGAAAATAGTTGCCCTGGGTTAAATCGTTTTAATAATTTGGAAGTTGATACTTTAACATCAGTTGGTATATATAAATCCTCAAATGAACTTAATGATTCTTCTATTGAAAAGTCTAATTTTGAATTAAGTGAAAGTTTGTGTGAATTTATGAATGTGACATCTACAACTTTAGGTCATTTTGAATTTGATCACAGTTTGAACGAATCTGATCATGTCGATAATACATCAAAGTGTGAAAATGTTAGTTTAGTGCATGATACTGGTTTCGATGACACTGAATCAAGTAAAGAAGGTATTGAAAATAGTTTGAAATATCATAAACTGAAAAATATTGATATTCGTGAGAATTACAACATGGGTATTACATCTCAAACTGATCATGGTGTGCTTTCAAATAATTCAACCAACGCGTCTAATAAATTTGATGTAATTTTAAGTAGTACAAATGAAGAAAATGTAATTAAAAAATCGTATGGAATTCGAAGAACAGATATTACAAAATCAGGGTTCAGTTCTTCTAAGAAAACAAAAGATTTAGGTAGTTTTAAAAATGACTTTATGAAAAAAGATACCAAATCAAATGAAATTATCAAACCTGAAACTATTGGTGTTATGCGCAGTTCTTCATTACGCTCAAATACATCTACAATATCTAAATCATATACTTCATCTAATAAATCTAAAGTTATGAGATCTGAAAGTACAAAGACTGTTAGTTCCTCTTTCGAATCTAAAACATCGATACAAAATGTTAGTGCATCGAGCCAAAGTAGAAGTGTCAGCAACAAATCCAATTTAATCAGGTCATCAAACAGCTTAAGAACAAAGGCTGATACAGAATTGAAAGATTTCAGATCATTGGACTCAACTAAAAAAATTACACGAAATCTCGTATCATCTTCTGCATCTGAATTTGAAACCACGAATAACCGTGAACACAAATCTTTCATATCTAAAACTCATTCTTCAAAGCAGTCTCTTACAAAAAAAACAATTAATGTCCGTCAAGAATTTAATACTGAAAGTAAAAACAACCAAACATTACGCGAAAATATAACTTCAGTAAAAGTTGATACTTTAGCTAAAGTATCAAATGAATCATCAACTAAATCATCAACTAAATCAATGACTACGGTGAATAAAAAAAACTTTTCAAAAATTGAACACATTTCAAGTACTAAACGGGTAGATTCAAAACGTTCATCAAGTAATATTTCAACAAAGATTATACATCCACTTGAATCACAAGATAAAAATACCAAGCTATTGGTAGCAAATAGAACATTAATTAAAAAATTGAAAAAACCAGAATTAGAAAAATACCATAAAACAACTGTAAATGAAAAATTAAAAAATAAACAGGTTGTAGAAGTACCTGAAACATCTTCCAAATCTAAAGTTAAAAGTTATATGGCGTCTACTGAATCCCGTAATAGAAAAGTAGAAAATATTTCTCATGCTCACAGTAAAACATCTGATGTTTCAACTAAATATCAACGTATAATATCAGATAAACAAAAAAAAATTCCCACGTCCCCATCAAGAATACCTATTAAAGACAATTCAAGTAAAACACCAATTAAAAAGAATTTATCACTTTTGGATACACGATCTTCATCTGTTTCGGATCCAAGAGTATTAAGTGCACCATCACAAAGAAGTGGTTTTGACTTTATGTCTTCGCCTAGAAAAATAAGTCCAACATCATTACCAGTAAGTCCGGCTCACAGATGTTTAAAGGCTGATAAAAAAATCAGTTCAGTGTTAATTACATCAGAAGTCTTCTCAAGATCCTCAGATCGTGCATCATCTGTAGAATTAGTATATGAGCAACCAAAACGTTCTCCTTGTTCATCAATGTCCGAACAACAGCCTGCTTCTGTAACAGAATCAGTATCATTAGATGACGAGGAAACTACTCATTCTTCAACCTCAGACACCAATCGAGATTCCGAGGTATATAACAATATATTTTTTAAATAAACCAACAATAAATATAGTTAAAACAACATTTACAATTCATATAAATATACAATTAATATGAATTACGAAAAAAAATGGTATTTTTAAATTTTTAAATATGGAAAAGTTAGTATTTATTAATTAAATTAGTTGTAAAAACATGATATAGAATTCTACACTAAGCAAAGTGCACAAGGTGCAGTAAGAATTAAAATTAGGATGGTTTTACCAATGGGTGACTTTCCCTATCAAGCAATTTATGTTACGATGAATTCTAATATCAATATATCATAATAACTTTTTTTTTTGTATAAATTTAAAAAAATTATTAAAATAATTTACATACATACATACATACATATATACACACATACATACATACATACATACATACATACATACATACATACATACATACATACATACATACATACATACATACATACATACATACATACATACATACATACTATATATACGTTCATATACATGCATATTATAATGTATATACATAAAAAAAATAACATTGGTTATCTTATTTACTGAAATTGTGACTTGGAGAAGCTAAGATTCCACACAAAGTGTTTTAACTATCATATTTTTATGTAGTTTTTCGAACAAATATGACTTAATGCTACTATTTACTTATCAATCAAGTTCATAAACAATTTCTAATTGAATACCTATGAAAACCTATACTACAGCAAACCTCTTCCCCATTCCTCTAAACTAGTACATCAACAGTTTTCACAATATGGGTGCCACCTTCGTGGGTATGTAAGATCAAAAATTTTAAGCCAAATGAATATATTCATCGTTGATGTAAGTACCTCTAGGCTCCAGTGTTTAGATACTGCTTTATTGCCATTGTTTCAAGGCAATAGAATTGATTTTAGTGGTTCATCTTTTACAATAACAAAGTAATACATGGTAGTGTCACTTCACTATCGAAATCACGATTTTTATTAAGTATAACCTTCACTATCAAATTCACATAACCAGCATAAGGTGAAACCAATGAAATATGAGTAATTTCTGTAAATTTAAATTATACTTATAACTTATAAGCAAATCTGACTTCTGATATAATAATAAACTAATCTGGTTGGTTCCACTCTCGGCCACCGTTTTATTACGATAGTTAAACAATCGTGATTTTGATAGTGAAGTGACACTACCATGTATTATAATTACCTTGAACAATAATGATAATAATATAATGTACCTAATCTTAATGTATTGATAAACGCCTTTTACTCACTCTATTTTTAAAAGAACCAAGAACTTAGGTGGAATTGCATCACCTCGACAGTAAGTTATCGTCTATTGAAGAAAATCAAATTGCACGCCACTTAATTGTCCCTCGTAGCCACATATTTAAAAATTACAAACATCGATATAGATTCTTATCTAAATCTATAGATAAATTATATGAGTGACAATCATTCTTGTATTTAATATTATTTTATGCTGTTACCGTATACGTGTTTATAACAAAATACAATTTAATGAATAGTTTTAAAATTAAATAATAATATTTAATTCAAAATCTACAGGAATGTATAAATATTATTTATATATCATACAGTTATATAGAATATAGATTATCAGTTCCATATTGAATAATAACACATACAAATATACACAAATGACAAGAAAGTGTTGCATCAATTGACATGATTCAAAATAATACATTGAATATAAAATATATATAGTATAAAATATTAAACAGAAAACTCAGAAAAAGATGTTTTAAAATAAACATATTCTCAACGTAATAGTTAATGAGTGATTTATTTTTAGAAACTACCTTGAACCTAGATTTTAGTATTTCTACATATTGTTATTAAATCTTTAGATGATTAGTATTGTTTGAAAACAAAACATAATTGGTGTACAAAATATCAAAAAAAATATTATTACCTTGATAAATTAGTAATGCTATTACACTTTTGTAGAATATACTTGTTAGCTGACTATAATATACTTAAAATATAATGCTAAATTTGTATTATGTATTTATTTCTTATATGTTCAATAACTGAATTCTCAAAAATTAAATGAAAAAAACGTTTAAAATTAAATTTCTCTTGAAAAAAATACAAACCAAATCAAATTTCTTAAGATCCGAATTTTCCAAGTCTTCTAAATTCATATTTTCTCAACAGTTGGTATAGTTTTTCCCTGTTTTGTTTTTTTAACTTATGAATTATGAGTAATACTAATATTTACAATTTATTTGTAGTCTGTGATGAGGACCAATTAAAAAAAAAATTGTTCAATGTGGTAGAGCTTTAAAATCTCTTTTTATAATTCGAAATGAGTTTTAATTGTATAACTCATTATTTCATTTAACTTTACATTATTTCCACAGATAAGCTCAAACATTTTTGACGATTCATCAATAGAGTTGAATTTAGTTTTGGGGAAACCAAATCAATTTTTACTATCTGATGAAATGTCAGAAGAAAGCAAGAAAAGCTTACCCCAGATCGCAATAACTGCTTATGAGTCCAATGAGGAAGATATTGAAGTAACAAATCTATTAAATGGAGTAAATGAGGAAAATAATGTTAAGATACATGAACCACGATCAGTTTCTCCCAAACCAATCAGACATAAGTCAAGAATTATATTGAAATCCCCCATAACTACACATTTACAAAAGTCACTTTCTCCTGGTTTGTCGGATTTGAATAGCTGTACAGATGTTGAAGTTATGTCAGATTCAGATGAGGAAAAGTACTATATTCGAACTCCTAATCTTACACCCGGTCCTATAGATTATTTCATTCTAACAGATATCGAAGATTTAAGTGAAGATGAAGGATATGAAAAAAACAATAAGGTTATAGATGAACTTACTGATACTGAACATTTCACAGATGATAAAGGGATAATTAATGAAGTTGAATACACCGAACAACCTTTAGAATCAATGCCCTATTTTCCCCAGCCACACAGAGAAATTTTATTTCACTCAAAAGATGGAACAGTACGTGCATTATCGCCAACGGAAGAATCAAACCCTATTTGGCTCAAATCTCCTAACGAAGAAGTTAAAGGCTTTGAATCCGAGGAAGAAATTATAACAGTTGAAGAACATGGAGATACAGAATCGTATATTAAAAACAATAATAATACATATTACCATGATATAGATGTAGGCGTAGTGGAATCTGTAGAAACTGTTAAACAAGATCGATATAAACATAAATATAGAAATCGAGTATTAACATCAAAAAAAAATATAACACCTGAAGCAGAATGTGGTAAAAAACGATATCGAAATAAAAACCGGTGTAATTCAGAGATTGAAGAAAGTTTTGAAAACCGTTCTGAAGAAAACAAGAAAAAAACATTATCAAAATTCATGTCAGAACCCACTCTCAGCAATGTTACCATTCCTAAACAAAATCAAAATATGAAGACAAATAAAATCAACAACCAAGAAAATAATAATACATTTGTGATACATGACAACAGAAATGGTTTTAGCATTTCTATAGACTTTCAAAGCCAGAATTCGGTATTATTAAGCGTTGGTAGGGATTACGGAAATTTATCAATGAGATGGTTTAATGATGGAATAACGACAGGTAGGGCCATATGGGATTATAATAATGACAATATTTTAGAGCCATTAGAACCAGGGTATATTATTAAAAGTAGCTTATATGATCCAAAACGACAATTTGAAGTAGATTTATTTACATATGGAACAGTTAAAACCTTTCAAAATAGATATTTTACGTATATTGCTGTATATACTGTCGTTCAACCAGTAAGCATAGTTCAGTTATATATAAATAGACCATTACAAACACAAATTACAATGGTCAAAAATCCTCTGGTAAAAGTATACTCCCTAAAAGACAAATTTACAAGTGTAGAAAGATTACACCCTTCACCTGTAACACGACTATCAGCATTCAAAATATTTAACCAAAAACAAACAAAAAAAAACACTGAGCAGAAGAAAATTAATTTTGAACCTACAAAACATGTCTCTGATGTAATAAATATTTTTGAAAGCATGTGCGGTAGTCCAAAATTGAGACGAAAATTCAATTTCAAACAATTATCAAATTTGAATAGTAACATAAAGATATGTGATTTAAATCAAAAATATAACTGTATATGTATCAAAAAAATATCAAAAATAGGTAATTACCAATTATATTATAGAAAAGGTGACGGACTAAAGTACTAAACTAACATTTAAATAACTACTATGTAAGTCACAAAATAAAAATGAATTAAGTCACTGAATAATCAAAAATATATTAAAAGAACATTCTATTATACACAGTTTAATAATAATAAAATAGCTCCTATACTAATAATGGGTTGTACACAATATTTAATACGTTTAATTTGCAATTAAAAATGTCTGAAATGCTCCGTGTTTTAAGAACTTTTAAATGTTTAAAGGTTTATTAAATCATTGTACGCCCTGGCATGATTATATTAATTTCTTACAGCTAAAATACTAATATTATTTTAGATATAACCATTTTTGTTTCTGTATATTGGTTTTCGTAAGTATTGTTTAATTTTAAAATTATTTTATAGGGGATGAAGCCAATCAAACTCAACAACAAAATGCAAAGTCTATAGATAATTCTGGTGAGTTCTTAATTGATGAAATACAATTTTAAATTTAAAAAGAAAATAGATATCAAACACATTACACAGTTTTAACTTAAACTTGCAAAAAGGATTAAACGAACCGTATTTCCAAGTGAAACTAACTTAACGCCAATTCCCTGCTTTGCTCAATGTAATGGTAATTATTCAATATAATCAAACGGCTTCTATAGAATAACAAAACACTGTTAATGCTTAAAAATAAATTTCAAATCTGTAACATTTTGCACTAATACGTTTTGTTATACGTTGTTTTAACATACTAGAAAATAATTAAAGCATTTTTAATTTCTAAAATCAAGATAACAAATTATATTTACTAGGTGCTAGCAATTATTTTTTAAGTGGATTGAATTAATTGATGATTTTAATAAAATGAAAACATTTGTATTTACATTTTACATAATCATAAAAATATGTTTTAGAATGGTAAAATTTAATATATTAATATGTATATAAAATATTTATATGGTTTGACTTTTCTTTTTTCGTTATGTTAATAATTTAATGAAAATAACATGACCCTTAGATTATTTTTCAAACGAATTATTCAGCCACAACAGGTCACATTATTTTGACAATAAATTGATCAATACAGCAATTACCCATAGTAGAGAAGAACTAGCAAAATTAGTAAAAGCTGTAGAAATTTTGGAAAATAAAGTAGAAAAACAAGAACATTTAACAAATGATTTTCAAACCGGAAAATCCGAATCTGAAAGCTCATCTGATGGAGTCAGTAGCTTAGACAATGTTCAAAAAAGGATTTATCGACTATTAAATGATGTTCATAATCAAGAAAACCAAGTACGACATTCGTTAAGTGATATAATGCAAAAAATAAACCATTGTGGATTTCCAAAAACCAATAACATACAGGAAATTCAAGGACCAAGTTTCCGTGGCAATTTTAATACGGCGAGTTTACCATACAGATGGTGGAATAGATCCATGCCTTGTTTGCCATTGTCAGAACGACATATATTTTTATCTGGTTCACAAGACTCATTGTCTGAATCATTTCAAATATGTTATTTTACTCCCAAGAAGAAAAAAAAATCCGTATCAAGAATGTCAAAGAATCAAAATTCTGGTTATTGTATATGGCTACCACACAACAAAACAGGTGAGGTGTATTGTTTTCGAGTGTGAAACTGGATTTTTTATAACAATAAGCTACTAACTGCTATATCCTTAATTCCTTTAAAATTCCTCAAATTAAAAAAAATTAAATTGAAAATAGAAGTAAGGCAGTTTATGTATAATTAATGTATAACTGTTTTGAGAAATAATCGTTTTCAGAAAACGATCGTACTCAAATAAGACCATTAATGGTTAGAACTCCGTCAGAGAATACTGTACCCGACGATTATGAACACTTAGATGAATGGAAACCGGTTGATTATTCAAAAATATCTCCAGATACTGTACAAGAAAAGTTAAAGACAATGTTAAGTGATCCTGGTAACCACGATGAAACTCTTACTAACTTGCTTATTGATATGTTAATTGAACAAGAAACCGCTAAATTAGCAGCTTCCGGAGAATTATCTTCCGGATCTTCTGATTCAGATCCTCATGAAACTCGAGATGTTGAACAATTATCAGATTGTCCTTCTCCTATCCCAATAATATCCTCTCCAAAAATTCGCAGAAATGGAGTTGGTGGTTCTCAAAGACTATCAGTACACCAAAGACCAACGTTTAGAGAAATTAACAAAGATGATAGTGAATCTGATAATGATAATGAATACATAGTAACCGAACCTCCAGAGAAATTACCCGGTAGAAAAGTTACATTTCGATTAGAATCAGAGGATGATGAAATTGTTTACCCAGGCCAAAGTGACAGTGAAAATGATTTAGAAGACTGTAATGTGTCTATGTCTACTATTAATCAACCAAGTATTATAGAAGATATGAAATTTGAAATGGCTACAGATGTTGGAGAAAAATCATTAAAGAGGGTAGAAAGAAGATTTGAACGTATGGCTTCAGAAACATTAGAAGATAGCCCAATCGCTAAACAAGCTGTCGAAGGGGAATACCATAGAATAATTTCCCAATTATCAAATGAAGAGGTCGATGTTGCTAATCAAATATGGGATGGAGCCGGTAAATTAAATTGCATTTAGAAGCTAAATACAATAATAACGCTTCTTTCAATACTAACAATAGAAAAAAAGAGAGAATGGTATAATAAACTTGATAGTTAATTGTATATTTTGATGAAATAGATATATTTATGCATTTGTATTATTTTATATAAAAATATAAATCAGCGTATAACAAAACAAAATATAGCACTATACAATTAGGCTTCTTTGTAGATGTTTGATCTACCAAAAACTTTTTTTTTTTCAATTTAAAATGTAATCCATATAACATAAATATCCTAGGACTTGATCTTTTTGGCGAGTTTGTGTTAGTTAGTTAACCATTGTATAAATAACCAATATTCTAATCCTGTATTTTGTTTGTATGTATTTGTGTGTACAGAGCGCAGCCCAGAATTAACAACTAACGCCAACAACTTAGCACTTCAAAACTCAGTAGATAAAATCCCACCTAAACCAAATCCTAGACATTCCATTGACAGTAGTATTACATCTTCTTTAGATGAAGATGATGTAAACTATACTACAAAAAAACAATTTTGGGAAGAAATAACCAAAACTAATCAACCTCCTCTACCAAAACCTAGATATAGTATTTCATTACCAATCAACAATTCAAAAAGACCTGTAATGAACAATGCTTCTTTAGAACTCTTTGATAATTCATTCGGTGCTTCTGATAATGCAGAAGTACCTGAAATGATCAACAAACCAATGACAAGTAACCAAACTACAGAAAAAATTGTAGTTTGTGAGTTCACTTGTCTGAAATCGGAATTGCTCGATGAACAACCACATATACCACAACTAGAAGAACATAATGTTGTCAAAGAAACTAAACGATTAGATTCTGAAACTGAATATATAAATAAATATGGAGAAGAATCATTAGCTTTCGAAAATGAAGGCTTTCAAGAAGAAGATGTTTTTGATAATAAAGATTCAGCTAAAAAAGAATATTCTCAGAGTACAAATAAAAAAAAAATGGACACAAAAACTAGATCAATGTCTTTACCATCTCATCAAACTGAACATATTTCCTCTAAAAAATATATTCAACAAATTAAGCCTCAAATGGAAGGCATACAAATGGAACAAGAATCTTCACCTGAACATAAATCTTTGAAAAATACAACACGTCAACAATCACCAAGTCAAGAAGTACTTATTAACCGCCAAATTCATAAGCACATTTTTTCTAATGAATTAGACGAACAAATAGATTCATTAATACCAGAAGAAAAATATTTAGGCTTAAAATGTGAAAAAAGTGTTTCAATGAATTCAATACATACTTCATCAGATAAAATGACTGGAAGTACAAGTGAAAAATCAATCACGAAAACCGAATCTGCTGAATCATCTGTACTTGATGATTTACCAGAAGAAATAAAAATAAACAAAATTATCTCTAAACAATCAAAAGACAAAAATTCATCAAGTTTAACCCAAGATCATATTGATGAAATTCCTTCGGACTCTTGTTCATTTAATGAAGAAAAAGAAAAATCCATTTTACATACTGAATCAATTGATTCTTCAATGATTGATGATGAAATACATAATGAAATAGAAAATGAAAAAGAAATGTTTTCACAACCTCTACCTGATCGTATCATTCACACTCCAGAAGAACACATTCCGGACACAATATGGGAAGTCACTCAGCTAGGAACAGACGATCAAGAATTAGAGAACGTTGATATCAAAGATCAATGTATTTTCCATCAAAATTTTGTTCAACAAGTTGATTCGATAGAATCTCTTGAAAACCCAAAAAAAGAAATGACTGGAGAACTGGCTAGAAATATTGCTGAGCAATTAATCAATGAAATTGAAATCGAACTTTCAAAACGTCATGATGTGTTGGCAAACTTACATCATTTAATGATGTCACCTGATCAATTTCAACAATTGGAAAATAGTGGTTATTTAGATATGGAAGGAGAAGATTTGCAGCTAAAAATTATGGAATCAGTATTAGCGAAAAAGTCCAGAGACCAATTAAAAAGCATTTCAAAACATGATACAATTACTTCAAGTATTGAAATTACTGACGAAGACTTAAAAAGTAGTGGTTTTGAAATCGAATACGAAGGATTGACGAAATCACGAATCAATGAACATATTATTCCAGAAAGTGATTATAAGGAATCTAAAACAAATTCCTCAAAAAACGACCCAGATATATTTAATGAATTTGGGAAATCTTCGCATGACGAAAAAGAAGAATACTACAAAGAAGCTAAAGATAATTTAATTATTGAAGCTTATATAAGGGAACAACAAAATGAAAACGATAAACGAATAGAATTTCAAAAAAAAGATATTTTTTCGAGTGGGCAGGATGATCATAAATTAATATCCCAAAAACACTACAAAGATACTAAAACTGATGTTTTTGAAAATAAGATAAGTAATGAAAATGACCAAACGATAGAAACACAAGAACTCGGATCACATTATAATTATAATGATGATAATAGTATCCATAATATTCATAATTCAAGTAAAATATCGAACACTGAAAAGGGGAAAAAAGTCGATGAGCATATTATAGAAAATGATAGTCATGAAATTCACTCTAAAGAATGCTTTGAAGTAGAAAATAAACAAAATATACACGGGAAAGCTGGAAATATTATTACTAACGAAAAACACGTTGATACATTGATAAAAGATTTCGACGACGAACTGATAAAAGAAGAACAGCACTCAGAACAAACCACAGATGATGGATTAGAAATATGTAATATAGACCGTGAAGAATATCGAGCAACATCTTGTATTTTCAAAGAAACCGTGAATGATTATAAAAATGAAGTAACATTAATAAAAGATTTTGAGCCATGTTCATCAAAGTCACTAATCAAACAATTAAGCGCGGAATCTTTTCCTTCAAAAGATAACTCCGTCCACTCGCCAACTTCACCATCATCGTCTTCAATTGATATTCGTGAAGAAAAACGTGTAAATTTTGACGCTGTAGTCTTTAGAAAACCTGATTCAATTAATATAAATAAACTCTCAACAAAAAAACCTGCAGATTCCAGCTCAAGTGATAGCCATTATCATTCGTTTGATCTAACATCTTCTAGCAGACCATGCTCGTCAGACGTGGACGGCCTTTTAGCGGGATCATCTGAATATGAATCTGCTGTTTCAGTACCATCAAATGAATATCACACAGCAATAAGTTCACTGAGCTCAAGAGAATCGATGAAATCACTAGATTCAGAAAGTTCTGGAAACCTTGCATCAGTGGAAAATAGTGAAGCATCTGAAACACTAATTGCATCAACTGGAGATTTAGATTTTGATCACGACGGAACAAACTCAATTTTAGAAGATGAAGATAAAATAGAACCATATGAACAAGAAATACCAATGCATATAATTAGAGGAGAATCCTTACCAATTATAGCAGAATTAACCGAAATGAAGTACAGTAGCATGTACAAAACTCAACCATTTTCTCAGCCAGCTATTAATAGTGAAAAAAATATGCAAAAAATGAAAAGATCACATGAAATGACTTTTCATCCTATGCCAAAACATATAACCAGTGATAGTTTATCTGATTCATCATCTCATGAAGAAAAATTATTTTCTAGTGAAGATGCCAGTATGAGTATATCAAGTACAGAAGGCCAAGCAATACAAACTGTTGTTGAAGCAATGAATGGATATACAGAATCTGGAACATGCAGTTTTAGTTTCAGTGATGAAAATACAAAATCTGTTGAAACCTCAACTATTCAAAATGAAAATGAACATTATGACAATGAAAACAAATCCGTGACAATTATATCATCTTCAGTACCAATGGAATACGGTATTTGCCAAAACGTTTGTACTCAAATGACCACAAAATCAGAAGATGTACAAAAAAAAGGACACCGAAGAAATAGTAGTTCATTTAGTAAGATATTAGTTGAAGACTTAGATATTATCGATAACAAAGAAATTGTAGATCCAGATCAACCCAAAGAATTGACTGTTGGTAACCAACATTCGGAACATAATATTCAAGATAAATCTAAAACAAAATTTGAAAATATTTCATCGAAAGATGTGCATGATTTGACTTCAGAAAAAGAAATATCTTCAATACATGATAATCACATTTTTGATATGCATGGAAGTATATCTGATAAACATAGTTTTGAGCACATTGATGATATTGCCGAATCAGATGCAGCTTTTCAAATGGTACCTCATGTATCACCAGCAATACCTGCTTCTTTACCCCCTACAATACCAGAGGATCCTTTTTCAGAAGACGAGGATGATTTATTAGACGATTCTACAGATACAGTTCCTAATATTATGATTACGGAACATATGGCTCCTTTGGTTGATCGTGGCTTTCATTACCCAGACTTAGATCTAGAAGCTAAGGAACTAGAAATTAAAACATCAACTCCACAAACACCTGCATCAATAAGTAGTAAAGAATCATCAGATACAGATCAGGGCAGAGAATATATAATAAATGAAGACTATGACCCACAAGAAGAACCTTCATGGACTGGTGAGGAACAAACAATTCTTGAAAAGGTAGAAGAAACAGAAGAAAAAGAATCTGTTTCTTTAAGTGAATCATTCGAGTTAGTGGATAATATCGAAGAAAAACTCGACAGCTCAGATGATGAATTTGTAGTTATAGAAGAAATAGGAAAAGAAGCGAAAGAAGAAGATTCTGAAGGAAAAGCAATACAAATTCAAAGAAAAACAAAAATAATCCATAAAAATGTAAACAACACGGGTTCACCTCAACATGAATCAGACTCTGAAAGTCCAGGATCAAAAAGTCAACTTGAATTAGAGTTTGCAAATCAAAAATGGGTTGAACTTCAATTTGAAGATGACAACACTATAAACGAAGTCTATGGATATAATATAGAGTATGAACGACCCCCCCTTGAAGATATCAAAGAAGAAGATACTGATGATTTGCAAAGCAGTAAAGTTGGGAGTATTGGAAGTCAAGTCAGTCATTCAATTGATAGTTTTGGCAGTATGAAAGAATCATTTAGCAGCACCCCGGAAAGTAAAAAATACTTAGGAAAATCATTAGAGAATGATAATATATCTGTAAATTCTCTACAAGAATTTGAAAGGTTAGAACAGTTGGTAAGAATCGAATCAATGAAAGCCAAGTCTTCGGGATCTTTAGCATCAACTACAAGTTCTTCTAATAGCAGAAAGGATGATTTATCATTAGCTTCTCTTAAGGATTTTGAAACAATAGAAGCAGCTTGTATTAAAACTGAGTTGATTGAAAACAAAGCTTTAGCCACAGAAAAATCATTAGATGACGAAGATGGAATGTTTAAAATTAATGAAATTATTAAAGAAGCTGAGATAAATTTAGAACAAAACGAAGATAATTCTGAAAAACATTTATCGGAAGATGATAATTTGACTAGTACAGAATCACTTGATTTAAAAACAATTGTTACCGACATGAAAGTGTCAGCTTCTCTTGAACATATGTCAAATACTGGGTTTGTGGAAGGGAAACAAAATGATTATGATGATTGCATGAACTCAAGTGTTTCAAGTCGTGGTTTTAGTAGTCCAATCATGGATGATCATTCAAAAGAGTCATCGTATAGAAACAGTTTAATTTTAGGTAGTAATGATTCACTAGGCCCGATAAGTTCCACATCGACGAATGCCACTTACCACTGTGAAACTGGATCCAATATGTCTTCTAGCTTCACAAGTGGAGGTTCAAATACTATGGTCTCTAGTATGGAAGGCCTTGACAAAACTGGAAGCAAACATGATTGGTTTGACGAACATGAAACTTTTGAAACATTTAGAAAGGACCAGGATGGAACAGAATTCACTCATAAGGTCGTAAGACTACCCACTGAAATGCATAAAGTAACGGCAAAAGGACCCGACAAAGATAAAATTATAGAAGATTTTGTAGAATACTTTTCACCTGGAGAATTCCAGGAGGATGTGGAACGTACAGATGAGCATGGTAACATATTTGTTACACGAATTGTACAAAAACGAATGGTTTTTGATACTGAAGAGTTAGCAAGTAAAGGTGTTTCTGAAGACGAATTAAATGAATGTTTGAGAAAACTTTCTAAAGACGCCCCTAGCGGATTTGAAATCAGTAAGAAAACTTCAACTCACATTGCAGGTATTACGTGCATTAGATATGTAATATAGGTCATCTTCATCTGTATATAAAAACTCATTGTATTTTTATCTACTATTCCAATTCTATTTTCTTCTTAAACCTATATTTTAATAACCATTGCATGCTTTTAAGATAAAACTTAGATTGAATATTTGAATTTTCAATAACAACTTTTCAATAATATAACACTTTCAGTTACCGTTTGTTTAGATAAATAATATTATTGAAATGTTATAGGATCGTCTGAAGAGATAAGAGAACAATCAAAATATGATACAAAACAAGGTAAATAATTGAAGTTAATAACAAATGCATGAAATAAAAATAACTCACAAGAATTTCAGTTATTAGCTTACAAAAATTAAATTTTTATTGTTATACCATTTTTATTGTGTAGCTCACAGAATTATATGATAGCAGGGGCTTCCCCAGCGCGACGAAGGGGTCAGTCATGTTCAGTCCTGTAAAGTATTTGAGTAGAAGTATTCAAATACTTTTTTAAGTATTGAATAACTTTTTAAATACCTTCAGCATGAAGTATTTTGAATTGTATTTTAATACTTTTTGTATTAAATACTTTTTTGGTATTGAAACTTCGGTTTTTTATTTCGAACATTTTATTTTATTGAACTAATTTTAGAAATTTAGAATGAATAAGAAAACAAAATAGGTAGTATCACCAATGGGTGGTTCTTCCCTAGAAAAAAAATCATACTCAAATCCCTATGCACATTTGTCTTATTGTGCTAGTTAAGACAAGATGGTAAAATTTCATGTAAAATAAAAAAAAAATGTAATAAAACATTTATTTAATAAAATAATAAATAAAATGATTATAATTTTACTACCTATATGTGTCTCTATTACAATAATAGAAACCCACTTTAAAACCAAAAGTTTTTGAAAAGTCTTCCAATACTTTTTCAAAGTATTTGAGTAGTATTTTAAATACTATACAATTAAAGTATTTAAGTAGTATCTTAAATACTTTAAAAAAATGTATTTGAGTACTTACTCAAGTACTTTTCAAAGGTATTCTTTACAGGAATGGTTCTGTTCCCTTACCAAGTAGCTTTTTAAAAAAATGTCTTAATTGTTTATAGTTAATTATTTTGTAAATTAACTACTTCTTATTTATTAATATTAATAAAACTGTATATGAATTATGAATTATTATTGCATATACATTTTAATATACTATTGACATTATGTTTTAATGTGTAGTTGTACATAACCTTTTAAAAGAACAACAAATGGTTGTCTCCATTTAAAAAGCCGTAACATAGCGCATTTTAAGATCAGAATAATCAATTTTACTCTTGTGATTTGAAAATGTTTTTAAGTTATTTTACCCTGTTATCAAATTTAAAGGTACGAATATTATTTTAGGCCCCACATAGAATTTGTTTGATATTTTGTTATTTTATTTTAAACAAGTTGTAAGCCGTTTAAAATTTTAATTTTTTTTGTTCATTGTAAAATATCTAACAACATTTGCAAAATTAAAAATTAAAGTAATAAATAAAACTAATTGGCGATATTATTATCTTTAAATGTTATAATTGGTCAATAATTCACTAAAATATTATAAATATAGGAGTAAAATAACCGAGTAAAATGGATTATTCTAAACATACAATTTACCATGTTTGGCGTTAGTAAAACGGAGACGACACTTGTGATGTACGATGTCCTCATAAGTAACATAAGTACTTATAATACAAAATATATATATTAAAACAGCTAATAAACAATTTAAAAGACTAAGTTTATACTTTAATTATTCGTCACCTTCCCTCCTCCCCCAATCACCCCCTTTAATGGGCATTGGAATGTCGTTGTATAGAAGATATAATATTTTAATGTATATTTAAATGTATAAATAGTATCTACATGTAAAAATAGTGCCTACAATATAAATAATATCTACACGTATATTATAATTAAATTGTATAAATATTTAAAAAAAAAATACGGTTGAGTCTCGACAAATCGAATTTTAAAGAGCATAAAATAAATTCAAACTATGTATTTTTTGAGTTATTTACCTCGAACACAAATTAAAAACACTTCAATGGACAAGAAAAAATTCGATATTTCGAGACTTGACTAATATTGCGCATTAGATAATGAAACTCTGTCAGAGCTAATATAAGATAGACGATAGTTATTTAGTACCTAGGTAGTAATACTTTTATTAGTAATTAGATTTAGACGCTTTTTTGTGGTGATTGGTAGAGTTGCAAGTGGCTGCATCAAAACCGGAGTTGAAGTGTGAAATTAGTATGGACGACGATACAGAAATAGATCTACGCGAGCATGACTGGCGCTTTCAACATCAAATAAACACCGGTTAATAATCAAATTATTAAATAATACAATTTAAAAAAAAAAAAATTTATATGGCAAATATTTTTAAACATTTATCTCATTTGTACACAATAAGTTAATTTTCTTCATAATGAATTACCTACCTATATAATGAAAAATACAATTTCATAGAAGTATAATGCTATAATATATCAAGCACATACATTTTATATTATCTTAATTAATAAAATGATGAAGATTCTTAGAATATTCTCAAAATAAATCAACAAATCATACGTTTATAACAATTAAAAAAAAATCATTGCTAATATTGTTAACCTTAAGACATTAAAAATATTTTTGTATACGTAGCGTCATTTGTTTAGAATAATCAAGAATCAGCTCACTTGTATGCTTAAATTAGGTATTTATATTAGTAGGTATTTTTTTTTTGTAATTAGTATTTTTAGAGTTATCAAGTACGCATAGGTACTTAATATTAATTATAGGTACTATTTAAAAACTTTCCTGTGGCAAATGGCAATACTAACTTTTATTTCTAAAGATAATAGTCTATGTTGCTATAACTATATTAATCCGGTTAGTATTTTCATAAAATTAAACTTATATCAGTACCTACTTATAACTTGAACACATTTTATTAACTGTATATAATTATATTTTAATTTATAAGACGTATATAACTATAAGTTTTATACACAATAGTAGGTACAATACACATACCTATTTATAATATAAACCTATGGGAAATATACAATAGAACCGCCGTTCAATGCCGTAACAAAATTAAAAGCTTAAAAATATGTCATCATTTTAAAAAATACATAATTTAAGCATAAAATGTAATGAGCAATTATTAAGCATTTTTAATAAGTCCTCTTGGAAATTAATTATTGAAAGATAATTTAAAATAACTCAATAGTAACCCAACCTATTCTGAAAAAATTAAAATGTGTGCCATTGTGAATTACATCTTTGATATTGGTACCTACATACCAACTTAGACTTAAGTTTTGTACCAACATAAATATATATGTACATAGTTTTCATTACCTACTTAAATGTTTCATTTCAATCTAATATAATAAAACATTATATTACAAAGTATAGAATGTGTATAATATATAATACAGGTCAAAGGTTTAAAACTTTACACATATCAAGTGATTGTAAAATAAATAGCAGCACTATAATCTAAGAATATAATATAGGTAATATAAGTAATAATAAATTAGTAATTACAAACAGCTGTCGACAATATGTTTATTGGAATAAGTTGCATTTTATTGGCATTATGGCATGTATAAGTTATAAGTGTGATAAGTGATAACCTTGGTACCTACCTCACATAACTTATTCACACGGTATAAGTAAAAGTCTTTTATTAATATCTAGTGCATGGATCTTCAAACTTTTTAGGGAGCAGGCAACTATATTAAGGTTGCTTAATGTCAGGGCCGCATTAAATACGTGTAGGTATTAAATTATTTAAAAAAAATACATAATGCTATAAATTATTAAAATAGGTTTGTAGGCGTCAAATAAATACAAGACCATGGACTGAAGACCACTGACCTAGTGTATTAAAATAATATTGAAAATGTTGTGTTTTGAAAGAATTTAAGGACAGGTTAGGTTAGGTGTTCCAAATTGTCCTCAATTCTATAAAATTTGTAAAATTATATTTTATATTTTAGTTTTTAGTTTTTTTTATTTTTTTTTTTAGTCCACCTTAATTATAATACTTTTTCACTAATCTACTGCCTGATACCTATTTAGGAGAAGTTGATGGGGTGTATTAAATCGAAAAAAATTACTTCACGGGAAATTATTATCATTGTAATTTTGTACACAAAAATACGCTTACGGGGAACAATGGATCCTGTTTTGTAAAAGCATGCAAATTTGATCATTTATCTCAGGTCGTGTAAAATTGTCGGATTTTTATAACTTTTTTTTATCTGAAAGAAGAAGACTTCCTATACAGGCCACATCGAACTCCGATTTTTATCAGATATCAGAGATTTAAAACAGTATTATTTTTTAAGATAAATTAAGTTTGAGATTAAAATATTGAAAAATGCAGTTCGATGCGGCCTGTAAAATATTACTCTCTGTGAGTAAAAAAAAACTATCAAATTTGCTTGTTTTTATAGAACAGGATCCATTATTCCCCGTACGCGTATTTTTGTGTACAAAATTACAATGGTACCGGGTAGCGGGTGCCTTAACTAATAAATTTACCTTTGAACGATGAACTAAAAAAGTTTCTTAGTTTCTGCTTTCAAATAATTTCTTTAGGATTCATAGTCCATAGACCTTGGTACTTTCCATGAAACCGGTGCCTAACCGTTGAAACCTACCTTTTTACTGCTATTATTAAACAATGCAACTTTTATAAATAAATTACCTACAAAATAAAAACGGTTTTATAATTTATTTTACGATAGTTCTATTTTAGTACCTACCAGTCCAGGTTGTAAATATAATCATATACTCATACAGTCATACTTTACAAAGATAGATTAATTTTTGGTTCTAGCTTAAGCCGCATGGTACCTACTAAAATACAGCAATATACCTATTTGGTATAATATTACCTAATTAATAATTTAGATTGTACCTACTTAAATTAATTGCTATGTAAGGCGTGAGCGTTTCCGAAAAACCATTAGTCAAGTGCCTAAAATAGCAACAACAAATTTGCAAAGAGATTTTCAGTATTTATTACAATTACAATTACAATTATTCATTTATAAATAAGAACATAATTTGTTTTTTTATTTAATCTAACCTTAGTCACATATATATATTATACACATTATATTTTACAGATTTTAAGTTTTTCTTTACCCAATAGCATAAGACATAGGTACAAAATACATAAATTAATGTCAAAAACTATAAACTGAAGATAAATAATTTTTGTTTTAGAAACTGATGACATTACAAAGCCAAGTACATCTGGATGGTATGTATATAAGTGTATACCTAATAATAGTATAATACAATTACAATATAAAAAATGGGGGGACGAGGTGGCCGAGCGGATTAACGCGTCGGCTTTGGCACAGCCGATCCGGGTTCAATCCCCGGCCATCGGGCTGCATTTTTCTCTGGGCAAGTCACGGTGTCCGGAGAACAAGTGCCGCCATCCCCCCACTCCGGGACATGGCAGAAACCTACGGGTGCCCCAATAAAAAATTCTGCCACCACGAACACACGTGTTAACAAACCTACCGACTCCCCCTGCAGTACCACAGGCTAATGACCATTAGTAATTGAAGCCTAACCTCAAAAAAAAAATATATAAAAAATGGTTAAAATAATAAATGATAAACAATGTTACTATCATAGACATAATATTAAGTACCCGGAAATAAACCTATGGAAAATGTATGACTTTGGTTGCAAATTTGCGATTTTGCTTACAACTATTTAAGATGAGGACACTACCTATATACACCTGCATGGAGCATGGACACATAATATGTGTTGTCTCCGTCTTACAAATGTAAAACATAGCAAAAATTGTTTTGCGCGGGTAAGAACCACTCAGGCTATACTCTAAGCTAAGCAACCAAATTTCATACTATGAAGAGGAGAACAAATACTATTAAAAAAAAACAGCGAGGTTGTTTTAATTTTTCAATATCGAACTAAAAATGTTATTCAAGTTTGAAAAACTCAAAAATAATAAAAAAATTTAAACTATAAGAACTTTTTTCGTATTTGTGATATCGAAAAATTAAAAAAAAGGTTGTGCAGTCTATGTTTTCCTCTTTCTAAAGTGAAAATTTGGTTGTTTAACTTAGACTACAGTCTACAGACTGAATATTTCTTACTCGCTCCAAACAGTTTTCGATATATTTTTCATTTGAAAGACGGAGACAACACATCATGCGGGTGTAGCGTCATCACTCATCTTAAAACAGTTTAACAAATTGCCTTACATATGCATAGATATAGGTAGGGACTATAATAACTATAGGTCGGGGAGTCACCAAATGGCAACCGGTGGATGAACTTTGTCTGGTCCGCAGAAGAACAATTTTTTAAACTATTATTTCTGATTGTGGTTTAAATGAAGTTTTCATGATTTTATGGTTTTTAGTGTTTTTACTTTCCTTTGTTGGATAAACATGTACATCATAATGTAATGGCCCTGGAAAACTTCCTAACGTGGCCCTCTAAAAACATGAATTGATGATCCCTCGTCCCCGCTAAACGGTACAGTACAGTAACCTGGTGATAGTGATAGCAGAAGATCTTGACAAAAAATAATTTAACTAATAAATGTACTGCATATAGGTACAGCCTATTTAGCACTTACTCTACTACTACCTTTCGTCAATCAGTCTCATCTATAAAGGTCCTACCTTATATTATAAAGACCTCCCTGAAAAATTTATATTAAATAATAAATAATACACATACAATATAGGTACCTTAACTAATGAAAATCGTTTTATTATTTCAGGACTGGAAAATCGAAACCGAAAGAAAATGTATCTGAACTGTAAAGTCAATATAATATGATTTTGAATTTTAATAATTGTATACATCACTATTATTATTAGAAAATGTTATTAATAATGTAAAAACATTTAGTAGGTCAATCTGAAAAAAAAAATATGTAAATGGAAAGCTACATTCCAATGAATATTTGAATACATGTACTAACTTAAAGTATTAATAAATATAATAAGTTATCATCATTTAGGTAACTACTATATTATACCTGTACCTAGAAATACCGTATAAATTTCATTTTGCAATTTAATTAAATTATAAGAGTTGGTACATACATTAATGTTCTTACCTATAATATAATTTGAGTATTTCTGAATATTTATTTTTAAAATAATGAATTATTGTTTAGATATTAATTATTATAATATGTATTCAAATATTTCATATGATATTGAAATTAACCATTTTTATTTATGTTATATCGCTTAACATTTGTCTCTTGTTTGTCTTACAAATACTTTACTATATATACCTATACCTAAATGGCTACATCTAGAAGTTAGTCAATACCTATACCTATATTTTATATATATATAATAAATATGTATATATAATAATATATATACATATTATTATTATTCATATTTATCCCATTATTATATAACTTACTATTGATATTTTTATTTGAATTACAAAATAATTTATTGTTACCTACCTATTTTATGTCATACTTAATGAAATTTTGTCATCTTGTATAAAATTTACTTTTAAATAAAATGACAGCCCATTGCAATTAAAATGAATAGGCAAAAACATATTGTTATTGTATCTATATAGGCTGTGCGTTATTTTTGATGAATGAATATGATGCTTTTAATAATCATTATAAATGTGTTTATTTTATTTTTCATTTTAAACCTATGTCCTGTCATAAACCAAATAAAGATACTCTAAATAAATACTTAGTAAAAAAGTAAGTTGGTGGGCAGTATACTGTACTAGGTATACTATAAATACGTACTATGTACCTACGTATTGGGAAGGCAGAAATAAGCCGCAGCTGTCTCTGCTACAAGATTTTCTACTAAGATATTTTTTTCTCTAAAATGCGTTTTCGATAATATTTTATCAAACGCATATAATATAATAATATTTCCTCGAATAATATCTGCTTATTGGTAAAGAGAAGCTAACTGAGTGGGCCTCGAACATATTCAAGTACGTAGGTAATGTGTAGGTTATTATAATTATTATGTATTTAAATACACGTAGGGATCAATTTATAATTGACGTAAAAATATTTCAAAATAAAATTATTTTTTAACACTAGTATAATTATATATTATTATATATTTCTTATATAATAAAACGCTAATAACGCGTATAAGATCCGCGGGGAGCGCTCACGGCACTCCGCGTTTCTTCCATGACGACCAATCACAATACTTCCCGCGCGTTCGCTATAAATTCCGCTCGCTTATCTCCCATTTCCTTATCGACGAATATTTTCGAACTTTATTATTATTATTATTATTCCGTATTTCTATATATTATGAAAATTGGGATATTTCCGTGTGTAATATAATATGTAAAACCAAAAATTCAGAAACGGTTCAAGTGCTCGAGATTCAAAAATTCAAAAACCTGTGTTTTTCAATTTTTTGACGAAAAAATAACGCGACCATCGGCGGAGTGGGGGGGGACCCATTAAACGAGTAATTATTTTTGACGAAGCATAACTTAGCCGGTATTCGACTTAGAGACCCCGGACCAATGGGCATCTCAATTTTTTAGGCCCCAGATGAATTTTCAACATTAGGGAACCAAAGCCCCCACCCCCCCCACATTTTGAGTTGAGTATAACTCGGCCGGAATTCAAGTTAAAGACCTCGGACCAAGGGGGAACCCATTCTTTTTATGAATACTACCGTTTTCCGCTTTAGGGAACGGGGGCACCTCCTCCCCCCTTTTTTGGATTTTGCTTTTTTGATGGATTTTGGTCCGGGAGAGTACTAACACCCACCTCGCCAAGGGGAAACTCGGGGTTTTGAGTTATTGATAGGATTTATTGGGATTTTCTTAAATATTGTTTTTATTGATAAGGAAAGTGATAAGAATTTTATTTTATCGCCACGAGCACTGCGACGCGGCTTAAGAGTCATACATTTGCCTCGGAATTTCATCTGAGTAGGTGGCTAGGTTGGTTAGGCGTTAGGATAAGTGACTCGAGGGTCGTGGGTTCGAACCCGGTCTCTGGGATTTTCGATAATTTTCGCCATCCGTGATAATTTGAATGTTTTTTTTTCGAGTTTTTTTTTTTTTGCAAAAAAATATTAATATATATTAAAGTAGATATTTTAAATTGTAACTAAATTGTATAATGATACTGTACTATTTTATAAATAATAATAATAATACTTGATTTTACCGTGACCAACGCACCTATATGTTTCTTATATAAATACAATATAATATAACTAACCTACATGTAGTACCTACTTGATATATTACAGTTTTTAGGTTAAATACTGTTTAATACGGTATTAATAAACTAATAGATCTAATAGAACTGATTAAACTCTGGCAGTTAAATAGTACGACTATATGACTGCTCTTTTTGCCGTTTTTTTTGAAAATTATAGTTTTAGGCCCTTTCGGTCATATCACCCTCCCCGTCGACTACTTATTCGCGTTCCCTGCTATATTTATAGCCACAGACGAGTCCCGGGGTGGAGTAGTGTGTCGGAAACGAGAGTAGGTACCGTGTAGGTATCGCTATATACAGGCATATATACGCATGTATATACATGCGCCTCGAGGTTCGATTTTTTTCGCAAATCTCGCGTTTTGAACGTCCGAAGGTGGCGGACACGGTGGTCCGCTCAAACGCCCTTAAGAGTCATAGATTTGACTCCTAATTTCATCTCGGTAGGTGGCTAGGTAGGTTAGGCGTTAAAACGGGTGATCGACGGTCGTGGTTTCGAACGCCGGCGGGGCCGTGTTAAATCAAATTTCTTTTTTTTGCGTTTTTTTTTTCGTCACATTTATCATTTTTAACGAAAGTGTTAATTTTTTTTTTAAATTTGCATTATTATATTATATATATTATTATTATTCGTTTGACGATATTTATTGGGCAAAAAAATAATTATAATTAACATTTACCGACGCACCTACATGTTTCTTTTAATAATACATTATAATATAACTAACCTACGTGTAGTACCTACTTGATATATTACAGTTTTTACGTGATTCCGATTTGGTTAAATACTGCTACAGATTATAAATACTATATTAAAAAATAGTACGACTGTAATATGACTGCTTCATTTGCCGTTTTTTTCGAAAATTCGAGTCCCGGGGTGGAGTAGTGTGTCGGAAACGAGAGTATGCATAGTGTATTCATTTATAGATAACTACGTTTAATAGGATAGTATTACATTTCAATAAAATTTGTTATTCACCAATATAATTATCTATTTGTTAATTTGACTTAATTCTCATAATTAAATAAATATACAAGGTAGGTATATTTTAGATAATATCCAATCAGAAAATTAGATTTTGTCGACTTATTTGTTATAACCGCGAAAACATAACAATGATTACATTGATTACAGTGAAGCCTAACATAAAACACCTGATAACTGTTCTCTATAATTATCAACAAATACAATTTTATTACCTACTGTATACTTTTTCATATTTGAACGGCCGTTTCGAGCACTTTTCGCTGTAGGCGGATTGTCCATTCGGGAATCGGATTTCACCCGAGATGACTGATAGCTAGACACTCAAACTCAGAATCCGAATTTCCGATTTCAACACACATACGAGAACCGGACACACACGCCAGGTGCATGGTCTGCGATCCGACGTAGTCGGATTGCCTACCTGACTAGCTACTTGCATACGAGCGACTTACACCCCCACTGCATCTGACACTCGGGAATCGACTTTCACCCGAGATGACTGATAGCTAGATACTCAAACTCAGAATCCGAATTTCCGATTTCAACACACATACGAGAACCGGACACACACGCCCGGTGCATGGTCTGCGATCCGACGTAGTCGGATTGCCTACCTGACTAGCTACTTGCATACGAGCGACTTACACCCCCAGTGTCCCCCACTGCATCCGACACTCGGGAATCGACTTTTACCCGAGATGACTGATAGCTAGACACTCAAACCCAGAATCCGAATTTCCGATTTCAACACACACACTCAAGAACCGGCATACACGAATGGGGCATGGTCTGCGATCCGACGTAGTCGTATTGCCTACCTGGCTGGCTGTGTCTTACGATCGACTTGAATCGCGTGACTTACGACTAGACACTCTTCCGAGTTCAAAAATTACCGCTTAAAAAGTGCTGCCAACACGACAAAACATAATACCCGACGACCCCCCTTCCCCCCGCAGGCTGGATCAAAAAACCCAGCATAGCCGACAAAGATGCACCACCGCCCACACAGTCTTTCCGCCGTAGGCGGGATGACAAACATCGGAATCTAGTTATATCTATAAAATATTATTAAATTAAATTCGATATACTGAAAGTTTTTGAGCTACTCTTCGTAAAATTATAATTATTTATTATTGATTATACACAATACACTCGGACAGTTTTCAAAATGTTCTCATTTATATCAACGACATTTTTCTAGATTAACTATTTTTGGTTTTAGATTCTGAGTGAAACGATGAATGTATTGATTTTACAATGATGTGTGTTTTTTTTATTTTTTTTGTGTCTGTGTACACGATAAGTAGTCGAAATAATTCTTCGATTTTCAACTTCAGTATCTTGTTCGATTGGAAAGTGAATATCGTTGGTGCATTGGGGAGGTCAAAATTTAAAATACCCAGTACTTTTCAAAAGCGCCAAGAAAAACAAAAGAAAAATTAAGGAAAAACGGGAATTTTTACGCAAAATCGATTTTTCAGAAAATTGAATTTGGTTTTTGGTGTAACTTTAAAACAAATGACCGTAGATACATGTTATTTTCACTGGTTGTTTATATTTGCAATTTCTATACA